AATAAACCGATGAGAAAACTTGAGCCACAGCCATGGATCCAATGACAACACCACAAACCGTAGCTGCAGCTCCAAGGCTCATTGAATAGTCATCCGCAGTAGGGACAATGATATATGTGTTGACCATGTACAAAAATGTGTTTCCTAAATTCAGGAGTAACGAGTTAAAATGGTAAGCCCGTTCATCGATGGTATCCTCTGAAGGAGTCTGCAAATCATCTTGCATAATAAGAGCATGCTGTGCCAAGAAGTTGAGGAAATTTGTGGAGTGGGTTAACTTGTCCACTGCGGTCTTAATTGCCTCAACCACTGGATCCTGCAGAGTGCAGAATTTTAGAAATTAAGAAGAAAGAAGAGACTGCGAGAGTTAAGTAAAGAATTATGATGTAATATCTTTGAAATGTATTACCTGCAGCGGAAGAACAGGTTGGTCGTAAATTGAGTAGAAACTTCCTTCGTTTTCTTGAAGCTCATGAAGATTGCGAGAAATCGCTCCAACAACAGCTCCTACACCCTGTAAATTCCATACACAGAACATTTTGAGATTCTTTAAAACAAAAGCCTATAGATGAAACCAGTGAACGAGCGGTAAGATAACAATTACTTACCACATGCTTAAACACTTGCTGAAGCTGTGAGTAAGGATGATTAGCACGGGTTTTCACGTAATAGTCGGCGAATCTATAGCCAAAACGTTTGTCAAATTTCTTAAGGATCTTGCGCAGACCAATGGCGTTCAATTCAACGAATACGAGAAGCTGTAGAAGATCTCGTCCAACATCTCTGTATGATTCTCGTAGCTCGACGATTTTTGATATGTCAGGCTGCTCAAGTATAGCATCATGTGTCTCCCTCAATGTGGCTAATCTCCCTGAGAGCAACCCTTGTTGTTCCAACATGAAAAGGACAGTTTTCTCAATCTGCAAAATGATTAACCGCTTTCAATATCTATAACAATTCGACATTATAAAGGACTATCATCTTATCATCATAATTGTTAATTTCTTAATGCTTCATTAAACAAACAGAAACAATGACAAATAAACACAGGACTATGGTTACCTCATAGATAAACACATGATCATAACAATATAAAAAAATTGTCTAGAGAGTAGTCTATAACAATAACATACCTGAGTATCGAGCATCCTCGAGAAATCTTTGAGAACATGGCGAGGATGTTGAGATCCGCCTCGAATTTGTTCAGCATATTGCTTCACTTTCTTCTTCATCAATTTGTAATTGATATAATAGCTACAAAGGAATAATCAGAACATCATTAGCAACCAAATCAGATGATCAGAGGATAAATCAAAGTTTTTAAGATGTGGCTAAAACAGAGATGCCGTAAGCAAATGCATACCCTCTCCATTCTTCGATTTGTTTCCGCTGCAGATATTTGCCAAAAGCCACCATCTTTTTATCGCATAAAGCAGAGAGCAGAGTTTTGATAAGAGCCTGAGAAGAATATGGGAATTAGAACACCCCGATATCACATATATATAGATTTTCTTTTTGTCAACTTGATGAAGCAAACAGAGAATGGGTTTGTGGCATATCGAAAATGAATTTAATACAAATACATAATAATATTATCCAAAGTCAATAGCATTTGAAAACACTAAATCCTAAAATAGAAAGGAGAGAAAAGAACAATTCCAAGAACATCTGTGACACATTCAAAGCTCCTTAAGGCTTAATTTGCATTGAGATTTCATTCTACCGATTTACTACAAGCATTGCTCAATGGAGCTAACACAAAAAATCAGTCGATCATTACAAAAAAAGATTTCACATTTTAAGATTATAATCAGACACTCACAGAAGCAGCTATATGAACTGATTTCAAGAGAAGTAGCCACGGAGCAGATGCAAAGTATCTAAGCCAATCCGGTTTTGGGAAATGAAAGAAAGAGTCATTGACAAAGACCAATTTGACTCAAGCACGAAGAGATCATCGAGCAACTCAAAAGAAACGAAACCTCAAATGGGTTGTGAATGCCTGAGCACCTGATTAGTGCTCAAGCACAATATAGAAATCAAAACAAGAAAGCTTCCATATAAGACTTTTTTTAGTATACATATAAGAAAGTCAGCGATTAAATTGCTGGCTATCTCTACAAGCCATGTGCGCAAATGATACTATCACGTAGAAACCACTGAGGACAATAAAGTACTAAATCAAATCAAAGCAAAATTCTGAAGAAACAATCAAATTCCAGGTTATATTATAGTTTTCAAAACCCAAAATCTGCAAAAAGTAAGCTTATAGTTAAAACTCTTGCATTTCAGTTCAGCAAGATGCTTTGTTCTAACGAATAAGCCAAAACAGAGATCTCGATAATGATATACATATATCATTAAAATGTTTTACCTGTCTCTATCCTCGTTCTTCTTCTGAGTTCTTCTTCAATACGAAGCTGAGCTTTTAATTGAGATCTTATACAGATCAAAATCTCTGAAAATAGATTAAAATACTGCAAATGGATCAGAACACACGAGCTTAGCATGAAGGCCTACTACACATAATTATAAAAGAATTTAGAATAAAATTATATAAAATTAGATCTTAGTGGAGTCACTGATAAATGATTTATAAAGCAGACAACTTTAAGTAGGCACGACACAAATTGTTTTTTGCATATTGAGAAAACTCCACACCTCGCAGACATATGAAAAACGCCAAAAAGTTGTAAACTTTTTCTAGAATGGAGTCCTATCAAAACCCTAGATTCTCTTTTTTCAACGTTCCTCTCTTTGTCCAACGAAATTTTTTCAATTACCTTGAGAGGAAAATTCGATTGAAAATCCAATTTTTGAGGGTCCTGGTTAGAGATTTAGATGACCATCAACGGAATAAGGCTGAAAACGATAAATCTGGATAAAAAAAAAAAGTTCATGTTTTTATGAGATAAATCAACGAAACGATCTGAGAAAAACCAAATACCAAGAATGGGTTTTTGATCTTGACAATCACAAACCCAGAAATCTTTCGATTTTCTTGAAAGACCCAATTTGCGAAGAAGATTAGAAGAAAGAAAACAAGAAAGGCGGAGGAGTCGGTGATGATAAGAACAAGAGCACCAATAGAGAGTCTTAATTCTATAGATCGCAGAATCTTATAACGAGAAATGTGACCATCAATTTGCATTTACTCGGACCCAATCATTGAGGAAAAAGAGGAAAATCAAAATCATGGCTGCCGAAAAGTCCTTAATTGTCACGTTCTTTATAAAAGGGAGCTTCTGCGTGATTATATGAAACTTCCGGGTTCTTCAAGTTATTGGCTGAAATTGTGGGGAAAAAATTAATTAAATAAATTTAAGACGGCCGTCTATGAAAAAACTACGTACTAATGTTGTTGTTATTCTTATATTCTCTGTCGCTATAGCATTACATGTTTTAATTAAGCATATAATCCAAAATCAAGTATTTACAATTCCTTGATTTTATGTGTATAATATATGAAAGGCATGGACTCGTATGTGTAGAAATGTCCGTATTCAATTTGTCTTCATTTTTATGAATATTGTAAAGAACATGACACATGGACTTATATGTGTCCGTAATCAATTTGTATTGTTACTTTTTAAAAAAATTGAGTGGAGAAAAAGAAAGCGACACAATTTTAGTTGGAGTATTTAATAACTTATTACAAGGCAGATATTTTTTCTTCTTAGTGCATGTGCATTATATAAGACACTGTAGACAAAATGTTTGAATTTAGTTTTGGACAAAACTTACCAAGAATACAGATGCAGACACATATTTAACTCCATTTTTGTTATCTACAATAGAATGTTTTCTGTACAAGTGGGACTCTGGCACGCCGGAAACTGTTCTTTCACAATCACCACCGTAATAACTTTTGACAAACAACTGAAAAAAAAAATGATGCCTCGGTTTTCGTGTTAGGCGATTCTGAGTGAGAAAAGTCAATCTTCCTTCTGGCTATTCGCCGTCGACTGGCCTCTCGCCGGTCGTCGAGAAATTCCTCTCCTCCTTCCTTCTCCCTTCCTTCTCTCTGCTTCTCTCGCTATGCCTCATTCGGTCTCGGACTCTCCCGTCGAGACGGTTCCTCCAGATCCAGCTGTAACTCTTTCAGATCTGGCCCCAAATCTCCAGATTTTCGATGTGCCCTCTCCCGCTGACATCGACGCCGCTCCTCCTTCGCCGGAGTTACCGCAGTCATGCTCAGTTCCTCCCTCGATTGCTGCGTCCTCGGCTCTTCCGTATGCTCAGCGCTTCAAAGCCTCGTTACGAAATCTCAAGAAAATGGCCGCTCCTTCTTTTAACGAGGACGGCACCCCCGTTGTCCAAGCTCCTTCCTCGGTTATTCTCCAAGCTTCTCAGATGTGGAATGGCCACATTGTTGCTCAATTTCACGGCCTTCTTCCTCCCAAAGCTGTTGTATTCGCTGACCTAAATCCGGAAACATTTCGTTACGGAAAATCTCGGATTATGCCTGTCTCATCTTCGTTCCCTCGATTTCCACAAGAGAATGGGTGCTTCAAGTGGGACTCTGGCACGCCAAAAACTGTTCTTTCACAGTCACCCCGTGGTCAGCTTCAGGCTCGTTGGATCTGCCAGAATTAGTGTCAGCTCCTACTTGGGCTATTCTGAAAGACGTTCCCCCCATGATGTACTCGCTCGACGGCATCAGTTGCATCGCCAGCGCGATCGGTGAGCCCCTTCATACTGAAAAGTCTCGACTCGACTCGATAAACATTGGCGAAACCAAAGTCAAGGTTGAAATTATGCTAGACAGTTCTCCGCCCTCTGAGATCATCGTCCGAGACCTGGAGGGAAACTCGGCTCGTGTCTCAGTTACTTACCCTCGTCTTCCTCCTAAATGCTCAAATTGCTGTAAATTCGGCCACTTGTTAAACAGATGCCCCTGGCCGCTGCAAAGGAGAGCAGCGTCTGACACAGGATACTCTAAGTCTCAGTTGGATTCTCAATCAGTTGTTGTCACACCCCTTTCCTCTGACATTGAGGTCCCTCCGGTTTCCGCTGACACTATCCTAGATTCGGACCATCTTAGGCAGAAAGCCGCCTCTATCGGCTTAGTCAACAATAAAACCAAAGCTCGGGCGCGCTCTCGATCCAGGGCAAGAACCTCCTCTTCAGAAGCTCCATCCATCCCCAATGAGATAAATACTGCTGCTCAAGGAAAGACTAAGGAGGTTTCCCCGACAGATATGGCTGGATCTTCTAAGTCTGCATCTGTTGAAGTGGAGCCAGATCCTCCTATCAAATCCCTGATTGATAAGGGAAAATCTTTGGCTAATAATCCGCGCATGATCTCTATTCCGGTTTCCACCATTCACGCTATCATGGCTGAGGGGCCAATTGCCACCAAATCGGCCAGGAAAAAAGCGATCAAACTCCTGATGCACTGTTCGGAGACCATTCCTCCAGAGGCCAAAGCGATGCCTCCTCTCGGCTCTAGTTCTGCTCTCATGTCTAACCCTGCTATAAGTCAAACTGTGGCTAGGGATAAGACCAGCTGCTAACTCGTTCCCCTCCTATTTGTGTACATAATGACAGTTTTTTGTTGGAATGTTCGTGGGTTATGCAGTTACTCAAGACAGCGTTTTGTTCGTTCCTGGGTTACCTCCAATAATTGTTTGCTCGGTGGTGTTTTGGAAACGAAGGTCAAGGCAGATAGCGCAGACAGGATTCTGGCTTCTACCTTCCCTGGTTGGCGTTTAGCTGATAATTACCAATTTTCGGACAACGGTAGAATCTGGGTGGTCTGGGACCCTTCAATCTCCGTGGTCATCTTCTCCAAGTCAGAGCAGCTCATTCTCTGTGGGGTTCATCTTCCTGCTTCTGACATCTCTTTCGCGATTGCTTTCGTTTATGCGCTCAACACTGAGAATCAACGGCGAATGCTTTGGTCTGAAATCTCTCAAATTCACTCCAACTCTCCTGCTAGATTTCGCCCTTGGGCCCTGGCCGGTGATTTCAACCAAATTGCCTCATCATCCGAACACTTTTCTGTTATCCCCTCGGCGTTCTCTCTTTCGGGCATTACCGACATTCAATCATGCTTAGAGGATAATGAGCTTCGAGATCTTCAAAGCAGGGGTGCTTTCTACACCTGGTCTAATCATCGCCCTGAAGATCCTATTCTTCGGAAATTGGACCGAGTGCTGGTGAATGATGCCTGGTCTGATCTCCTCCCAGAATCATTGGCAATCTTCGATCCTCCAGGTGACTCCGATCACTCTCCAAGTCTGATTTGTCTCGAAGCCTCTCTCCCACCTATCAAAAAAAGCTTCAAATACTTCTCATTCTTGGCTTCCCACCCTGAGTTCTTAGCGAAAATCTCGGAAGCATGGTTATCTCTTTCGCGGGTTGGATGTGCTTTGTTTACTCTCGGGCAAAAGCTGAATGCCGCCAAAGCTTGTTGTAGATCTCTTAACAGGCAGGGCTTTGCCAACATTCAGCAGAAAACCAAAGAGGCTCTTACCCACCTTGAAGCTATTCAACGAGAGTTGCTCTCTTCCCCTTCTGATGCTCTGTTTCAAGAAGAAGTGGCAGCTAGGGCCACTTGGAACTTTTTTGCTGATGCTCAGGAATCGTTTTACAGGCAGAAATCTAGGATCAGATGGCTCAAGGATGGGGATGCTAACACCAACTTCTTCTTTAAAGCTGTTGTTGCCAACCAAGCTCGTAATGCTATCAAAGTCCTTAGAGACCCCATGAATAACCGGATTGACAATCCCGATCAGATTAAAGACATGATTGTCACTTTCTATCGGCAGTTACTGGGCACTGAGGTGCGAGTGATTCTTCCCTTTTATGTGCCTGAGATCCAGGCTATCCACCCCTTTCGATGCTCACAACATATATCGGACCTTCTCGTCCTCATTCCGTCTGATGAGGAGATTAAGGCTGCCATATTTTCCATGCCCAGAAACAAGGCCCCAGGCCCTGATGGATTTCCTTTGGAGTTTTTCCTGGAGGCCTGGTCAGTTGTGGGTGATGACATTATTGCCGCAGTTAAGGATTTCTTCTCCACTGGGTTTCTTCTACGAAGGTTTAACTATACAGTCATCGCTCTTCTCCCCAAGTTTCCGGGAGCCGATCAGCTTACTAGCTTCAGACCGGTCTCTTGCTGCACCACGGTGTACAAGATAATCGCGAGGATTCTAAAAAGAAAGCTCCAACTCTTCACCGCTGAAGCTGTTCAGCTAAACCAGGTTGGCTTTATCAAAGGAAGACTCTTATGCGAAAATGTTCTTCTTGCCTCGGAGTTGGTCGATGGATTTCATAAAGAAGGGGCCACTTCTCGGGGTTGCTTACAGATCGACATTACCAAGGCCTTTGACAGCGTGAACTGGTCCTTTCTTATTCGAGTTCTTGAGGCTTTGGAGCTTCCCTCTACCTTTGTTCACTGGATCTCGGAATGCATATCTTCCACTTCGTTCAGCATTGCTTTTAATGGGGGTCTAATTGGGTTTTTCAAAGGAATGAAGGGTCTCAGGCAAGGGGACCCAATTTCATCTCTCCTCTTCGCTATTGTCATGGACATTTTGTCCAAGAAGCTGGACCAGGGAGCCGCAAACCAGGTTTTTCAACCCCACCTCCTATGTATCTCCCCTCTTGTTACTCATTTGAGCTTCGCAGACGACCTGCTGATCTTCTTTGATGGTTCTGAGACCTCCCTGATCGGTATTCTGGGCATACTCGAAGAATTCAAATCGATATCTGGTTTAGCTATTAACAGGGAGAAATCCTTTCTCTTTTTGGATGGTGGTAATCTAGCGGACCATCGTGATCTCTGCGATAGACACGGTCTCGCTCTTGGCTCCCTTCCAATGCGATACCTTGGTGTCCCTCTCACTTCGAAGAAAATGACTAAGCATGATTATCAGCTGCTTGTTGAAAAAATAGCGAAGAGGTTCTCTTCTTGGACCGTCCGTCAGTTGTCTTTCGCGGGCAGATTGCAGCTTGTTCAAGCCGTGATTTACTCGACTATTAACTTTTGGGCTTCTATTTTTATTCTCCCCAACCAATGTATCGCAACTCTGGAACGCATGTGCAACGCTTTCTTGTGGAGTGGAGCTCCTTCTTCTGCTAGAGGGGCTCGGATTTCTTGGGACTCGGTGTGTTCTCCTAAATCCAGTGGCGGTTTGGGTTTACGCAGACTTCATGACTGGAATAAGGTGTTGGGATTGAAGCTTATATGGTTGATTTTTACTTCAGCAGGTTCTCTCTGGGTCTCTTGGATCAGATTGAACAGATTCCATTCAGCTACCTTCTGGGATCTGCAGGACTCAACTTCTGGTAGTTGGATTTGGAAGCGCCTGTACAAGCTAAGGCACTTAGCAAGACCCTTCCTCTTCTGCGAAATAGGTTCGGGTATCACGACTAACTTTTGGCATGATGACTGGACCTCTCTTGGTCCTCTCTTGCATCTTACAGGCGATGCAGGTCCAAGATGCTCTGGCCTCCCCATTGATGCTTCAGTCGCTGATGCTATTGCTGATGGAGACTGGTGGCTCGCCCGATCAAGGAGTAGACACCCGATAATCTCCTTGCTTCGTTGTTGCCTCCCACCAGCTTCTCCCATTGTATCATCTGAAGTGGATGACTGCTTCAAATGGAAGATAGGCCCCACTGGTACTCCAAAAGATTTCTCCTCTTCTCAGACTTGGAAGGCCCTTCACCCCCATTCTGTTTATGTGCCTTGGAATAAGGCGGTTTGGTTTAAAGGAAGAATCCCAAAGCATGCTTTCTTATGCTGGATCGCTGCAAGACACAGGATGCTTACCCGGGACAGGTTGAGATCATGGGGTATGGATGTCCCCTCCACTTGTCTCCTTTGTAACGCCAATGATGAATCTCTGCAACATTTGTTCTTCTCGTGCCCATTCAGCTCGGAGATCTGGTCTACATTCTACTCTGCTGCGATGCTCAACCCCCCATCAGACTTTGATCAATGTCTCCTCTGGTTGCTAAATCCTACCTCCGACGCTAATGTCTCGCTCATCTTGAGACTGGCTTTCCAAGCCTCCTTATACGGGATTTGGAGGGAGCGAAATGCCCGGTTTCATACTGCCACCTCCTCTCCTGTTTTCGTGATTGTTGCTAACATTAAAAAAACAATCCGATGCAGGCTGGACCCTCTGACTCGTGCGCAGCGTATCTCTGGAAACTCGGACTCGCTGCTCGCCACTTACTTCTCTTTTTTTTAAGCTAATCTTTGCTAGGATTCTATCCATTTTTTGTATGCGGATTGCTGGGACAATCTGTCGGATTATGAGCGCTGTAACCCTGAGGGGATCTTGTTGTAATCATCGTTTTTAATGGAATGATAAAAAAAAAAAAAAAAAAGTTACCTAATATTTTGGAAAAATACCAAAAAATATCTCATTTATTTAATTTTTGGAAGAATCACCCATGAACTTTTAGCGTTGCCAGAAACTCACACAAACTATTTTTTCGATGCATAAAAATACAAAAGTTTTTTAAAGTTTCATTTTCCCCCCTCTGATTTCACGGCCGTTAACAGACATAACAGAATCAATAAACAGCGTTAATTTTTTTTAGGAAAAAATGCTAAAAAATACACCAACTATTTAATTTTGCCAGAAACCCACACAAACTTTTTGCATTGCCAGAAATCCACACAGACTATTTTTTTTAATCTATAAAAATACACAAACTTTTTAAAATCCTCAAGTTTCACGGTCATTATAGACATAACAGAATCGAAAAACTGCGTTAATTTTCTATAACATGTGTTAATTATTGTCAAATTAATACCATTATTACCTTTAAAAAGAAAAACCTAAACTCTAATTTTTTCTCTTACTATTTCAGAAATTGAGTGAAATCGGTTGAATGGTTAATAGAGCAATAAATCATGTTTAGAACATATACATCATCTCCTCGAATTGCTCTTATTAGTCTTATATATCACAACACACAATGTTTCCGACTCGATTTATACTACCAACCATATTTTTCAACCGATTTCACTCAATTTCTAAAAGAGAGAAAAAATTAGGGTGTAGATTTTTCTTTCCCAAATCGATTTGAAGATTTTCTAAGGGTAATAATGATATCAATCCTAGAGTAGTTAACACGTGTTACAAAAAACTAACATAATGACCGTGAAATTTGAGGAGGGACAATGTAATTTTAAAAAGTTTGTATATTTTTATAGATTAAAAAAATAGTCTGTGTGGATTTCTGGTAATACAAAAAGTATGTGTGGGTTTCTGGTAAAATTAAATAGTTGATGTATTTTTTTAGCATTTTTTCCTACAAAAAATTAACGTTGTTTATTGATTCCGTTATGTATGTTAACGGCCATGAAATCAGAGGAGAGAAAATGAAACTTTAAAAAAATTATGTATTTTTATGTATCAAAAAAATAGTTTGTGTGGGTTTCTAGCAACGCTAAAAGTTCGTGGATGATTCTTCCAAAAATTAAATAAATAAGGTATTTTTTGGCATTTTCCCTTTAATATTTTTGTCTTTCATAAATTGGTGGTCTCACGTGATAATCGTTTTTCAAATCGGGCCAGAGTGATTCTCGACTTCTCGTAATTTATTAGCACAATCATTATTTCGCTGGTATTCTCTATGAATGATAGGCACACAGAAGATGTATTACATATAGGAGCTGCTGTCTTCAAGAATCAAGAATCACCATTCTAGATCTGATTCATCTCATTACGTGTTCACTTTTCATTGGTTTGCATACTTAAATATTATCTTTTGATAATTGCTAAGGTTCTCTGATAAAACGCTTTAGCTAGTGTGTAGTGTCATTATGGTTTCACGACGTGTGTCTTTAATACAATTTTTGAGGTAAAGATAAACGGCCAAAAAAAGAAAAGAAAAAAAAAGCAAGTGCATTTGTGGACCTGTGTAAAGATAGTATGGGTAAATGACATGCAATCTCTGTAGAAGCTAAAGACAATATCTAAAAATCTATATCATATCACACATATTGTTTGTTTGTTTGTGTTTAATTATGCAATGATTTAGAAAGAAACATAAAAGTTATAGGTGTTTGCTGAAATGGTGATTGGGATCAATATGAGTCATATGACCTTAACCTAATTAACACATACTATATAACGTCCAGTTCCATATCGTTTAAAGATAATGATTTAATACCTTCGACTGATAATATCATATATATTAATATTACAGCATTAACAGTCTTGGATCTACATACGACTTATATACATTATAAATACTAGAAGTGAATATATATATAGCTTTATTAGGACTTTTTATCAACGTAAATAATAATTATTATACTATGAAGAGTAAGAGCACCTCCAATAGGACGATGAGGAGGAGCTGTAATTCATTTTAGAAATTAAAAAAATGATATGGATGATAAATGCCTGAGTCGTTCCTAATTTTAGAGAATTAGGAGATTGGGTTGAGCCTCTGACGTGGCGCAATTTGGTTGGTTGCGTTTTTTGTTTTTTTTTTTAATCAAAAACTCTGATTAAAATAGAGTTTTCAAATGTTTTTAGATAGAAAATATTCTATCTGCTTTCTTCGTGGTTATCGACATTTTTGACGACCTCTCCTCCGGGCATCGACATCGGCGACCCAAGGTTCTTCTTCTCCGGCGTTCCACCGTTCCGACAACATGATTTAATTGTCGGCGAGTTCAGAAATTGTCGGCGAGGTCAGGAATGATCAACCAAAGAAGAAGCTTGGAGCCAATTGATCGAGCTTCTTCTTTTCCGGCGTTCCGCGGTTCCGACAACAAGAATTTATTGTCGGCGAGTTCAGGAGTTCGGAGCCAATCGATCGAGCAAGCCAACTCGATGCCAATATACCGATCAACCGAAGTCAGAAACATGCAATTGTAGAAGTAAGTTTTCTTTGCATGTCTTAGTTATTCTAAAATTTTTGAATGATTTAATTAGGGTGTGTGTGATGTGCGGATGTGATTGATGGTTTGATGACTTGAATTAGGCTCTGTAGTTTGGAATCAATGCTCTGTAGTTAGGTTTTGGATTAGAGGGTGGAATCAATGCTTGGTTGAAATCGGTTGTCTTTGGTGTGCTTTATGTCACATTTGATCAATGCAAAGTTGTTTGATTAGGTAAAACATAAGTGACACAATGAATGCTAACTAAAAGAAGAGAAAACTTGTTTTATTTTACTCTCTCTTGAATGCTAACTAGAAGTTTTTGTTAAAACTTGAAAGCTAACTCTCTTATGCAAAAGCTAACTCTAACTTTAACTCAAAACATAGTAATCAATGCTAACTAGTTTCACAATCAATGCAAACAACTCATACTTAAACTCAAATTGAAACTCAAGATTTTCTCTTTAATGAACCACAAACTCTTTCCTATTAGTTAAAAGACTCAATGCAAAGTGGTTTGAGAACTTACAATGAATGCTTAACTAGTTACACAAACTCTTCAATACTTGTAGCTTTTATAAAACGGTGGAGACATTGTTTTTTTAAGAGAAGCCACCTCTTTTCATTCCTTTTCATTCCCCTAAACCCCAACACAAGCCAAGAGAAGCCAACTCTTTCCTTCTCATTTCTTTTTCATTCGCCTAAACTCTTCCCTTGTCATTTCCTTTTTTAGTTTTTTTACTCTTTCATTCGCATTTGCATTGCTTCCTATGGACTCAAGGAATCCATTTTCTGACACTTCAGGCTTCATGGACTTGCTAACCAGCCAACAAATGACCCATACCCAAAGCATTGAACCCATGCAACAAACCATTGCACTCGGTGAGCCATACCCAGTGTTTGGAACCCAATGGAGTGATGCTCCAACTCCAGGTGATTCAGAAGCCAAAAACCGCACGACCAAGAAGCCATGGACTCCCACTGAAGATCTTGTGCTCATAAGCGCCTGGCTTAATACAAGCAAGGATCCAATCATTAGCAATGGGCAAAGGCTTGATGTATTCTGGAAAAGGATAGCCATCTATTATGCGGCGAGTGATAAGATCTCTGCTGAAGACAAGAGAGGTCCAACTAACTGTAAGCAGATATGGGCCAAGATAAATGAGTCTGTGTGTAAGTTTGTTGGGTCATATGAGGCAGCTTCAGCTCAAAAAACATCAGGGCAAAATGAAAATGATGTAATGAAGCTGGCTTTGGACACCTTTTTCAATGATTACAAACACAAGTTCACCATGGAGCACTGCTGGAGAGAACTGCGTCATGATCAGAAGTGGAGAGGAAGTGGAAGTTCAAAAAAAAGAAGAACCGATGGTGCTAACGTTGAAGGAACCGATGCTCGTTTCAGGGATGGAGAGGATGAAGGAGTTCCTCGGCCTGCTGGTGTAAAGGCTTCCAAGGCAAAAAAAAAAATCAACAAAGACCAATGCTGCTCATTTGGAAGAAGATGGTAAGGGTGTAGTGGACTTTAGAAGCATCTTTGAGTTAAGGGAAAAGGAGTTAGCCTTGAAAGATAAGACTAACAAGCAAAGGATACTCGAGAATCTCCTTGGAAAAACTGAACCTCTTACTGAGGTAGAAGTTGAGCTTAAGAACAAGCTCATTAATGAAATGTTGTCACATATGTGAGGGTTTTTCATGTTTGGTTTGTATGACTGAGTTAAGGGTTAAGTGTCTCTGTCTTTTGATGAATGGTTTGTATGCTAAGTATCGGGTATCACTTGTTTCATGTTTAGTGTCATGTATGGTTTGTATGTTAAGTATCGGGTATCACTTGATGAATGGTTATATGTATTTTAATTATGTCTTTCATTTGTAAGTCTTTTAATGAATGGTTCTATGTATTGTAATCAAGTCTCCTTTTGTAAGACATGAGTTTTTTGGGATTAGTATGTTTTATATATGATTCCATTTCATTTAGAATTTGTATATCTTATGAGTTTAATGATTTTCATTGTTCATGCTCTGTTTTTCTTATTGCAGGCACCAAGGATGGCATGGACAAACGGCTACAAAGTTATGTGTCATGCCTTATGGTTTAGTATGGTTTTGTTAAGTTAAGTTATGTATGGTTTTGTTAGTTTAGTATGGTTTTGTTAAGTTATGTTTTTGAAAAACTTTTGGGCCACAATATTGTTTAAAATGGCCGATGTTTTGATCTGTTTTGCTCAATAAAAAAGTTATGTGTTATGCTCTGTTTTTGGGCCTCTTATTTTGTCTCAGTTTTTGGTCACACTTTTTTTTTGGTCCGACGTTTTTGGCCGACGTTTGTAGCCGACGTTTTTGGTCCCACTTTTTTTAGCCTTAGTTTTTGGCCAAGTGTTTAGCAAGTGGTAGTTATTTTCCTTGGAGTCACACATATTGTTTGTATTCATATGTATACACCACATGTTGTATAATCACCACCACAAGAATATGAAAGGTGTAAATTCATGCATATTGTCTATATATAGCCTCAAACTTCTTCACAAACAAATCATCCTTCAAATACAACTCCCTTCAACATTATCTTTTTTTTTACAACTCCCAACATCCGATACATTATTATCTTCAATATCATCTTTTTTTTCTTTTACAACTCCCTTTGCAACATCGTTTTATAACTCTCTTTATCATCATCTTTCTTTCTCATAACAAATTGTCCATCTCCTAAATGGCATCCTCATCCAATAATAATTTAGAGAAAATTATGGAGGACAGATTTGAGGAAGCTTTTGAAAATGCATATGAAAATGCATATGAAAATCTTCTTGCTAATCAGAACAATCGTCAAAGAGCCACAAAAAAAAAGAGAGCTTATATTGAGAGAAATCGGGAACAAGGCCATATCCGTTTATGGAACGACTATTTCATGGAAGATTCAAGATACCCACCCCATATGTTCCACCGTCGTTTCAGAATGACCAAACCTCTTTTCATGCATATTGTTGATGGCCTCTCTACTCATGTTCCATTCTTTCAACAAAGAAGAGATGCAACTGGAAGATCCGGTCTCTCTGCACTACAAAAATCAACAGCAGCCATTCGTATGATGGCATATGGTTGTGCGGCTGATGCGGTTGATGAATACCTCCGGCTTGGTGAAAGCACCGCCCTTTCTTGCTTGGAAAATTTTGTAGAAGGAATCATATCTCTGTTTGGAGATAAGTATCTACGAAAACCAACACCAGAAGATCTTCAACGCCTACTAGATATTGGAGAATCTCGCGGATTTCCCGGGATGATAGGAAGCATCGATTGTATGCATTGGGAGTGGAAAAATTGTCCCACCGCTTGGGCCGGACAATTCACACGAGGATCTGGAAAACCGACAATCGTTTTAGAGGCTGTAGCTTCACAAGATCTTTGGATATGGCACGCATTTTTTGGACCTCCAGGTACTTTAAATGATATTAATGTTCTAGATCGATCTCCGGTATTTGATGATATATTACAAGGTAAAGCTCCAAAAGTGAACTACTTTGTCAACGGACACCAGTATCGTTTGGCTTATTATCTCACCGATGGAATTTATCCAAAATGGGCTACATTTATCCAATCTATTAAACTTCCACAAGGTGAAAAAGCATGCTTATTTGCTATCAAGAAGCTAACAGTAAAGATGTCGAGCGTTCTTTTGGAGTCTTGCAAGCTCGGTTTGCCATTGTAAAAAACCCGGCTCTGATGTGGGATAAGGTTAAAATAGGAAAGATTATGCGAGCATGTATAATACTTCATAACATGATCGTAGAAGACGAACGAGATCGGTACAATCTGCTTAACGTTGAAGAATTCACACAAGTAGAAGCAAACAGAACTTCACATGTGGATATGACGTATTATACCAGTATACCTTCAAATTTCACCAATATTATGGCCATCCGTAATTCAGTTCATTCTCAAAATACGCATGATCAATTACAAGAAGATTTACTTGAACATATATGGAATAAGTTTGGTTAATCAACACCTAATCTTTTTCTAAGATTATGATTTGCATATTTCTATTTAAGTTGGTTTTATGTAATGTTTGTTTAAATTTCAAATTAATAAAGTTTGTATTCATAAAATAATTCTATTTTATAAATTATAATTAAAAAAAAAAATTTTTAGAATCCCTCATTACATCCCACCATTGGAGGTTCAAATTTGGTAAAGCTGTAATTGAATTTTTAAAACTTACAAAATCATTAAAACCATTAAAATAAAGAATTAGAGTCCCTAATTACATCTTACCATTGAGGATGCTCTAATTGCACTAAAGAGTATTAGATGTTTACAAAATTAAGAGACAGTTTTTTGGTTCTGATCCCACAAGACTATTCACGGCAAAAAGACCACAATATCCTTACCTTTCAAAGCAAATCAAATGGATCCACATATTCTGAGACCCGACAAAATTTTATTAACATGTTATATTATTGTTAACATATTAATATTTTATTATGATATTTTAGAATTATCACGTTACAATTATCAGATATATATGTTAACACTTACAATTAACATATATATTTATTAACATGTTAATATATTATATGATAACAAAATTAACACAACCTTATCGCGATAACTTCTATATATATATTGAGTTATCCAGTTATGAATGATATCTTCTTTTAAATGAATAGTGTTGGCGTTGATGAACAGTATCTACAGTAATGTCATGTGCAAAAAAAATAACTAATGGCAAATTGTGTAAATAAATAAAATGAGAAGGATAGTAATGGATAAAACAAAATATTCACTTTGTTAATTACCTAATTATTCATTTACCAATGCTATAAATTTAATTTTTTGATCAATCATTAATATACAGTAAATTCACTCTACTATGAATCCACTTATCATATTAAATACACTCATCACAATCTCAATAAAAATCGTAAAGGAGTTATAACAACCACATGTTTTCTTTTCTTTTTTTTGGCAAGAACAACCACATGTTTTCGTTAGAAAGAAAATATGTTTCCGTTAAAAAGTAATATTTGTGGTTTGCGTCAAAGAGAAAAAAGCACCACCATGTGGATTATTCAAAAGTGAATGTTTTTTCTTATAGCAAAGTATATACAGGCCACAAAAAACATTTCCTAACAAACCTTTACAATTTTCATAAAAGCTCTAACCAGCCAAAATGGTTTGACATAAGAATCTTGACGTTTTTTTTTTCTTCCAACTTCGAGTATTTTTTTTTGCGCTTTAAACATAAACGTTGAACTAATGTCCTTTGAAAATGTTAGTAATCATAAGTCATACTAGTTGGTTATGAGTAGAAATACTTATGTCATTTATATATAATATTGCTTTGAACTCCAATTCTCATGCGTCTTCTGGCTCAAGTAGTCAAGTGTTAACCAACTTGTGGCCGGTTATTGGATGTGGTCATCTACTGGTTAGATCCGGTTTCATATTCAGTTAGACTGGACTGGACAAGATTGAGTGAGTCTATATAACCAACACTTTGTTTTTTTCAGCATTTCTGCTCCAAGCTTTCCTCTGTTTTTTAAAACATTGTAAATGTTTTTTTTTTTCTATGTTGATTAATAAATTTTACATGTCATTAAAAAAAAAATACTAACAACTACCCGACTACTTCTTTCAAACGCTTTCTTTGGATCTTGTTTAGCTCAGAGCATGACCAATTGCATGATATCGAACTTTTTTTTTCAACTTCGAATCTCGTTTGAGTGTGAAAAATTTGCACAATTGATAGAAATGTACAGAAAAATAGAAAAGGAGAAAAAAAATTGTTATTTGCTGATATAACTAATTCGATAAAAAAAAAAAGAGAAATTAAGATTATATAGAATGATGTAAATATACAAAAGTCAGTTCTGATTCCTAAGCGACTCGGAACCGTGAAATGATTTGTTTGTCACACGAGGAAAATTTAGATTATTGTAAATAAGGACCATTTAACAAAGTCTATGAGAAACGATCGTAACCAAGAAAAAACAGAGCTTAAACGGTAAAATAAGCTGACTGAAGACGTTATAAAGATCATAAGCCATTGCATGAGAATCGATCTAAAGCGGGAAAATAAAGAACACAAACAGACCGGATATTTCATAATTAAACCGGAAACTCCATAGTTTTACAAATAGAAACAGAAACAGAAACAAGAAACAGAACAGAAGCCTCTTTGCCAGCTTCTCGTTGCTACTTCCACTAAGTAATTAACCTTTAAGCCATTAAATTGTAAGGCAAAGGTATCACATAGTGAAAGGAGCAAAAAGAAGCTTAGAGCAAAGCCAAAAGGCTTTTCCCCTATATCTATCTTTCTATCTATCACTTTTTTTTTTAACAGAATCACACACACACACACACACCTTCCTACATTGTTCGATCTGATATCGACAAAAAAAAAAAAAGACAGTTTTTTTTCTTCTTCTTTTGATTCAACGGGTTTTCGGGTTTTCTTTAACGGGTTTCGGGTTTAGATACTTGGACTTGTAGAAGTTCACTTTCGTAGGGGCAATGATCTCTGTTGCTCCCAATACACACTTGTGGTAAGAGAAATCTTCTGTTGTTCCATCTGTTCTTACAACCTCGAAGCAACGAGCATTCCCATGTTTAGAATTAGCCACCTGTAAAGAGAAGAAACCTGGTCAGGATCTTTTGGTGGTTTCTTAAAGATTCTGAAACATATAAAAGTTGTATGCTTTACCTTAATTCCTTGGAAGCCTGGTCCAATTTTCTCATCTCTATTGGGGTGGAAGAGTAGAGCCATCATCAAATGTCTCTCATCCTTCTCATTCAACGGAGCATCGATCTCGTAACTAACAAAAACAGAAAAAAGGATGAGTCTTTACTGTTCTTGGAGCAGAAAAGTCACAAACTTTGAAACCAAGAAAGATACTGTTTTTGTTTCCTTACTTGTAAAGTATTCGTTTGAGTGATCGAGAAAGCTTTTCGATGCCGTCCCATGTTAAGATATTTCTGAGCTGCGACATGGCGAGTCCTTTCCCATCGAGTGTATTGATTGCTTTGGAGATAGCGTTATCGAGCAAAGGGAATGGCTGGACCGTGACTTTGTCTGATTTAGGCATGGAGTTTGTTGCACGCACCTTCCCTGTCTTTGGAAGTGTCGCTGTACTACTCAGAAAGTCAAACACATCTACGGGTGTACTAAACCCATGATTCTGATAAACGCAGAAACACACTAATTAGAGACCACTAAAAGTTGTGATTTCAAAAACGGATTATTACAAAAAAATGTAAAAGTTGTTGTTGTTACCTTTGGAGAAATGATGATTTCGAATTGATCTCCAGTCCCAAAACAAGGAACTTTTCCCCAAGCTAATGCGTCGATAGATCCTTGAAGCTCATCTCTGACACCTTCCTTAGCAGCTTTGAGAAAGCATTGACTTGGGCTCTGTAGAGATTAAGCAAGCACTAAGTGTCAAATCAAATCAAATCTTGGTAAATACTGAAAAGAATGAGACAGAAACATTGAGACTTTAGCTACATACCGAGAAGCATGCTTGAGTAAAAGGTGCAGGAGTGGACTCGACCTGTCTTTGTTTACCCCAACCTTTGGAGTTTAATGCCACAAACTCTCCAGTAACAGAGAGACAATCAGCTACAAGAAGCAGATGTTCACGTAGTATCGTCTTACCAGTATCAGACACCGCAGACTCCAAATTCTGAGATGATAGCCAACAAAACCTCTCAAGACATTAGAAGCTGCGAGACCAGAGGAAAATGAAAAGAATCGTAAGAGAGAAAACAGATACTAACTGCTAGGAAAATGCTTCGTCCAGCGTCTATTCCATACACTGAGCAGCATTGACGGATATTATCAGGATGGCTTCGAGTCCAATCGATCACATCCATAACAGGAAGACAGGTTTCAAGAAGAGCACTCCAAAAGTTCTTCTTGCCTCCATCTCCATACATAGTAACCTTCAAGAAAAGCTCACCGGGCAAAGAATTCACGTTCCTTTTGGGAGCTTTTGGTCGATCAGCCCATAAAATATCCACTCTTTTAATCTCACGGTAGCCTGCAAGAACAGAACAGATGATAGAACTCGTAAAGAACAGTAATAACAAAAACAAGAACTGTCTTCTTGTTCAATCCGGTTTTTACCTTTGACAGGAGAGTCGAGAAGAAAAGGGATCAAGACAAGTCTAATAGCATCAAGTTCCAAAGAAGAAAAATGGGAGGCTTCCACAACGGTAACTGTGATGCAGAATCTATCATCATCCATTGCCTTATCATCCCAAGAGCAGTGGTTTCTAATCCACAACACATAAACAAATTAGTATCTATTAAAAAAAAAACACTTCCGCTGCAAATTTGAGGATGTTCTTACGTGCTTTGTATTTGTAAATCAGTTAGATCAAGCTTCAGTTCGTTCTTCCTGCTCGTATACTGCTTGTTTAACGAAGAGACAACAGATTCGGCGTTCAGTTGTTTCTGCTTCATTGCTTTCTGTAAGATTACGAAGAGATACATTAGAATGTATTCATATGTAGGCACGCTTATGTGAGTTTGTATGTTTATGAGTTTGTACCTTGGAGATATGAAAATGGAGAACCCATGGGCTCAAAGGTATCCTGGTGAATTTCCTCGGAGAGAATCTATTAACCAAGAGGATGATAAACAGTTGTTAGGAGAAGCCATTGAAAAAACAAGGATTCAAGAAAGACAGTTCAAAGTTACCAACATTATCATGGATGTCGAAACGATCTCTGAGAAACTCAGTTTCTCCAAGTGGTTCTTGATGTCCAGTGACCCATATTCGAACCCGTGCTTCTTCTTAGATAGTGTTTCAGACAAATAGAGAGACATTGTCTGTTCTCGTTGACCTTTCTTCGATCCACACTCTAACACATTCTGCACAAAGAGAACAAAAAAATATCATTAGGCAAATGCGATTATGACTTATAAACCTGCACAAGAAGAAGAAGAAGAAGAAGAAGAAGAAGAAGAAGAAGAAGAAGAAGAAGAAGAGAACCTTAAGATTCAGAAGCGGAGAAGTTTCAAGAAGGCTAATGGGTTGGTCTAGAGCACTGTAAGCAGCTTCAGTGAGAGCACAGGCAGAAAGTGACCCTACTGCTTCGCCGGCTATTTCTTCTACAGGACTATCAGTCTCATAAGAAAACTGTACTAAGTGATTGCCGAACGAGTTTCTCACTGTCCCGTCATAAGCAGCGTATATGTCACGCATAAAGAACATCAACTTTCTGCTAAGTGTCCCCGGGAGATCAGCATTACCACTGAAGGAGCTATCACGGCTTGTCACTGAATGCACAAAAGACTCCAACGGATTCAGACCCGTTAGAAACGAGTTCTCGATGACTCCATAAGGGACAAAGGACTCAGAAGCGGTTTTGTCTTCTCCCTTTGCACCACGAAGCGGACTGGTCGGGTCGTTCCAAGCAGCACAAGTCAGCTTACGTGGAAACCCGAAGGACAACGCAACCGAAGAATTCTGCAGACCAATGCACATGCTGTGCTGAACCAGCTTCCCTATGTTTCCTTTGCTTCCAGCTTTTGACATGATCAAGAATGAATTTGATTGATCACCGTACCTATAAGCCAATGCTTGAACATCTCTATAAGCGTCCTTGAAAGCACTCACTGCAAGTTTACTTAGCGTCGCTGATCTCTGTCTCTCGACGCAGAACCGTGCCAAATCAGCAGTCAAATCTTCCTCCTCCTCTTCTTCTCCGTTAACCGCAAGAAAACCTCTACGGGACTCGACCATAAGCTGTTGCTTGTTGCAGACTTGTTCAGCTTCCTGCAAACCGTATGTTATCTCATCTGTCAAGTTTCTCCGAGACTGAGAGTCAGAGGAGAAGTACAAATCAGCCAAGGACACACTAAGTCCACGCATCAGCAACCACTCAGAGAGCATTTCTTGAGCGGAGTAAATGATATCAAGCACTTTCCCTTTGTCGTGCTTGAGCAAACCCTGGATGAAGTTACCTTCTCCATCACGTAACCAAGCAGAGCCTTCAGAGGAAGACAAAAGCTCTCCGTTGCTTACAACCACATTGTTCAGAGGGTAACTGTAATCAAACCCGGGAGGGAAAAGCATCCCAAACAACTGCATTCCGGTCCATTGAGGCTCCTCTCTGCTGCTCAAAGAAGAAGAAGAAGCTCGGATGATCGCAGGCGGAGGAAGCTGAAAGGGACAGTACATTTGCAGCTGCTGAATCTGAGCTCGGTTCAGAAAACAGTTCTTCTCGACATTAACAAGATAAGCTGCAGTCAAGCTGTCCTGTCCTAAAGAAAGCAAGTTACGACCATTCTGCCTGTTAACAAACTGCTTATCCAAAGCCACAAGCTCATCGAGCTCAACCTTGGCTTGAACAGACTGAGGAACGTAACCGTGAAGACAGTCTCCATCAAAGTCACCACGAAACGGCAAACAGATGATCGGGTTCAAGGAGACAACAGAAGTGGTCGGGAGGACTCTAACCGACATAGCGACAAGCGAGTGCTGATGAATCGAAGGAGGTCTGTTCATCAACACCGTGTCTCCATCTCTTAATGTCCGGAAAATGTTGTCTCCGGTTTGTAGGTCATCGATTTCTCTGATAGCCACTAAGCTATCTCCTCTTCTTACATAAACCTCTCCTTTCTCGAGCAGCAGTTTGTGGAAACAGGAAGTGACGAGACGTTCTCTGTTCCAGTTGTTGAGATTCTCTGTTACTTGAAGCCTCTCTGCGATCCTCCTCGGTATACCAATCTCGTTAAGCTTCAAAGAAGGGTCACCAACAACAACTGTTCTGAATGTATGGTCGCTTCTTTTACCAAGAAGAACATCTTTCATGAACCTTAGACCACACAACTTCGGTGTATCTGACTTCTTCTGGTAAGGATTTGCGGATTCTTGACTCGAAGACACATTTTCAGAAAAGAGCTGTGCCAAAACAAATATCAATAAACTACACAGATGATAAAACAAGAACTAGTTTAAACTGCTTACTCTGGAGTATTGCATGCATTCGATCACACGAGAACTCAACTCAAGCAAATTTCCTTCGAAGCCAACTAATTTCTTGTAGATCCGAGTACGTTCATCCTAAAATTTAAGAAAAAACCATAGTATATGAGACAAATGACATACTGCAAACTTCAGAAAAATGAATTCAAGATTTAAAGCTTTTTTACTCACAAAAATTAGTTTCGGTCCAGTGAACTGGTTAACTAACTCGGTTATACGGTAACCATTTGGTGGAACCGGAATAGATGTTAGAGAAAGAGAGTCAAACATTGGAATGTCCTTCCTGATGAGCCTCTCATCAATCCCACACAACAGACCATAAACCTACAAAATAAAAAAGTGAAGAGTGTCAAAAAAAACTATAGATAACACAAGAAACCAAAAAAGAAGATCAGTCTTTTGGATGATAAAGTTTCACTCTTTTTAAGACCTGTGCATGCGTTAGAATCCGCCTGGCTGGTTTCAAACTGCTTTCGTCGATGTTGGAGTCTTTACGCACAAAATCCCAATAATCACGAGGTAATGTTAAGACTCCTCGTTTCTTCAGTTTCAAGAGATTGTCTTCACTTACTTCACAGACAATCCCGGATCGCCTGAAGACTTCTTTAGTAGTTACCCTAAACTTCATTAGAGGGTAACCTGTATTTGACTAAAACATACAAAAAAAAAGGGTAATCAAGTTACTTTAAGAACATAGTTTTCTTTCTATAAAAGAAGAAATTAGTTGCAAACTCTTACAGTGCAGTATCTACATCTCTCAATCCGGTCTTCAATACTCTGCACCAACCAAAGGCAGTTTTAGTCTATATGTATCGTTAGACATTTACATGCATACAAAGAAGATTTGTAAAATCTCTTAAACCTGAGACTGCTTCTTGCGAATGTTTTTACAGCCAGGGCAGAATCTGTTAAGCAATGCAGCTATCTCCTTGAGGAAATAAGGGTTAATTACCGAATACTGAAACTTAATAACCCCGAAATGCCCTAAACAGAAACCAAAAACAACACAGAATTAATCATAAATAAGCTGATCTCTGTTGATTTTCTTGAAAAAGCAGTATTTCCAAAACCTGATTAATTAATAACATACCTTCACAAGTTTTTCTATCTTTGCTGCCACATGCTCTGCAAATCCCATCCGGATTAGGGAGCCCTAACCGGGAATCACTGACTTGGTTCGGTGCTTCAACCTCCATGAAAGCCGCCATTTTCACCTATAACAAAAGTGCCATTACATTAAACTTATGCTGAATCCACCAACAAATCTGGAATGTTTCATTAGGTTCTTGAAAGTTCAGGGCAGCACTTACTCTATCTTCATCCTTCGAAATACTAAAACCTATGGATTTTAGAGTGGCGATGGGCACCTGAAGCTCCTCGGAATCTTCTTCCATGTTGCAGAATTACCTACAACAAGAAAAAACATCAGTATTAGCCAGTTAAACCATTTAAGTGAAAGCATCAGTTTTTTTATTCAGCAACACCTAGTGATCAATCCAATAATCTCTAGTGATATATTTAATGTGCAGAATATGAAACATGATCAATCCAATAATCTCTAGTGATATATCCAATGTGCAGAATATGAAACAAAACCAATCTTTCGCATTTCACCAATCAGACAAAACAAAACAACTCTCTCTTTCTCTCTCTTTCTCTCTCTGGTCAAGATAGACCACTGAAAACGAGACAACTTTTGGTATGGACAAAAAATCGTGAGCAAAATCTGTCTCTGTGACTGGCCTATCAAAAACAAGTTGGATTAAAAAATAGGAGATTTTAAATTGAATTACAGATAGGATCTAGCTAGAACCCAAAAAAACAAAGAAAAGAGAAAACATGTTTAGACAAAGGAATCTCAAACCTGAGCAAAAATGTTTTTGCAGAAGACACAGAAAAAGGTTCAACCTTTGAACACGCATTATTGAAAACTTTACACTCACAATACAAAGCTAAGAGATTCACTGATTAAATAACAAAGAGAAATCTTTCACATACCCAGAAAAGCGATAATCATAATACAGATAATGGAAATTATATTCTAGATAAAAGGTTCATACTTTAAACACACCAAACAAAAGGTTCCAACTTTGAACATACATTATTGAAATTATCTTATACTTTTGTTCCTTAAAACTCAATAAAACAGAGCTAAAACCCACTAATGGTGTTTGTAAAAACGCAAGGGAACCAAAAAAAAACAAAAAAGGTAAAAATCCTTTTCCAGTAGCCCCACAAAAACCCTTTCTGCGAAACATTAGCCGCCTTAAGACGATCCCAAAACCGAAATTGAAACAAAGTATCCAATATTCTGATAAGAACATGCATAAGCGATAAGCGAAAGAAGTAAAAATTTTGAAATCATCGAAATCTTAGACGGCTTCGTAAAACAAAATCGGATTTTACAGACGACGATCAATCAAAAGAAACAAAACAAAAAAAGCGTGAAATCAGAGAGAGCGATCAAAGGCGAGAATCGTAACTGTTGCCGGAAAAAGGAAGAAGAAGAAGAGACAGAAAGCAAAACACCCCAGAAAAAATTGAGATTTTTTAGAGCAATGTAGTAAGTTTTTTACTGGTTTTCGAAGTCTTTTGGTGAAGCCGCCGTTTGTTTTCCCAAAGGAAACGGGAAAATTAAAAAAAGAGAGAAGCAGAGAAAACGAAAAATCTCTTCTCAGTCCAAGAAGACTTTGGAATATGAAAAAAAAAAATAAGAAGGAGATGGAGGTAAACTTCCGAAACTACCCCTTGACCTGTACTTCTCTGATACTTTTTAGTTTTTACCTTTTGGATATTTTAACTTCCTTTTTTATTATTATTTTTTTTTTACGTTTTGCTGTATCGTCGAAATACCTTTTCTGTATAAACTCTGAAAGTGGGTAGAAAAGAAAAGGTTGAAAATTCATGCCTCTTCAATACTGCCATTCTTTAGAGTAGTTTTTATTAGCTGTATTTGTTCCTTTTTTTTCTGGTAAAAGATTTGTTTCTTTTTTCTCCCCTTTAAAAAGTGTACGACCAGTTTTTAAATTGAAAAAAGTAAATATTTTTTAAATATATAATATGTATATACACTCCTAATTTCCAATTTGGCTAGAACTATTGAGAAACAACATAAATTTTTTAAATAATTAATATGTTCATTAGTAAGTTTTAACTGAAAACAGCTGGTACTTCTTATTGGGTTAAAGGTTATGATTGAATTCTTAATGATTGTTTGCAGTCATCTTTAACATTATTTTAAATCTCATAATAAAAATTTCTATTTTTCAGCTTAAGTGGATAGAAACATATCTGGTATATTATCTTAAAATTATTTAGAATTAACTAAATTTGATGAATCTATATTTTTGGATTTTGTATTATTTAGAATTTACAAGATTCGACGAATCTTTGAATTTTATGTTATTATTTAAAATCATATACTATTTGTGTATAATTATTTTATTATTATGTTTGTGTATATACTGTGTACAATGTAACTTATTCATATTTTGTCTAATTTATAGTGAATTGAGTTTGTTATACAAAGGTGGAGTGAGTTGAATAACTAACAAGACTTCAATATTTCAGTAAATTTTATGTGTGCTGATTTTACTACCAAACCTGCTTGTAATATCATTATTTTGTATTCGTTGGTAGCTGTTACCAATTGTTAAAAGACAAAACCCTAAGTATGTTTTTGAGTTTTAGTTCAGTAAACAAAATTACAATGCCGGAAATATTAATTTGGACAAACCACTAAAATTAGACAATTTGATGGCCCATTTCGGGGGCCCCACCTCACTTGGCCAAAACTACTGAATATAGTAAAACAATTCACCAATGATTCTCTTTACCGCCAGTCGCTGCAATAAGCAATTGGTTTTGAAAATTATTGCAAAGCACGTTCAACATAAATTCGTCGAATAATTATATTAACATTTAACAATATAAAACTAAGGTTTAGTCTCTTTTTATTTTTTTTGAATGAATGTTTAGTCTCTTTTTCATTACAGCTTTCTCCTGAAGTCTTTTAAGAATTGTACAAAACACAGAAGCGAAGTGTGACGACAGCAGTCAAAGGGGGTATAATTGTAAACTCAGCAATTTCTTCTTCTTCTTTCCTGCAGACTCATGAATATTTTGTGAGCCAATGTAATAATAATTACCATTCTTAATTGCATTTAAAGTTTCATGCATTAAAACGTTTAGTTTACGTTAACATAGTTGAAATATCACATCTTCTTTATAGCACGCAATTCACACAGTATATTCTCGGATTTGAACTTGAATTATAACATAATTACCACACTAATATAAACTATATTAGGCTAAAAAAAATTCGTTTCTTATATAATTATAAGAACGAAGATGTAGATATAATTTCCGTCTTTGAAGTAATATTACCATAATACAAGAAGTTGTTAGAATCTAACGAGTATATATACTCACACCCATAGGTATATGAATTTGAACTTTTGATGGTTTTGATTTGTAATCTAGGGTTTTCAACATGGCATTATTATGATATAATTACCCGATTTTAATCTAATTTGAAAATGGTAAAACTAGACAGATGAATCGAATAAAATCTGAATAATTTTTTTTTTCTAGATACCAAATTTATTATGATGTTCCGAACAAACCTAAACTCACTAAAAATTCATATTTCTAATACAAGATACTTGATTATAGCAAAGTATAACTTTTTAATTTGTACTAGCTAGTATCTTCATTTCATCATCCAAAAACAAATTTGATATGCTTTATAAATGACAACAAACATATAAAATGTTCTCACATTCTTATGTAACTTTTCTAGTTATCGGATATTATGTGACCAGTTATATTATGCAGTTTTTTTTATAATTGACTATACTTTTTTTTTATGACTGAAGTATGAAATTATACTTTTTGAAGAGAAGTAATTTTTCTAATCTCTGCACTTTTAGATATCGTATGAACAGAGAGAGTATACTACAAAAATTTCTGCAAACTTGGAAAACTGTTGTTTATAAATCCAACCACAGAAAGTCCGAATATCTACCTAAAATTTATACTCGTTAAACAAAAAATTTAGTCGTAATTTCATTCATATTTACTAAGAAAAAAGTCAACCAAATTTAAGATGCGTAGTTTCTACGCTCCTTCTTTCTTTTTGCATTGGAACCTGATCAAACCATCAACATGAAATCGACAATTGGTAATACATATTCGCTATTTTATATTCCTTTATATCTTTTTCACTTATTTGTCAATTTCTAAGGTGCACTTACCAATTCGGAATTTCATGCATCATACATTTGATGAGACGAATTCGCTTATATTCTGGTATTCTTTAGTTAACTAATTTTGAAAAACAAAATTGTTATAAACTTATATGGATCAATTTAAGAAAAAAATTTAACCCAAGATAAGAATATAGTTAATTAGAAGTTTTTAGCAAATCGTGGCAGCGAATAAAAAATATGAAGGGTCTGCTTTTTGTAAAGTAACCTATAATTTCCCACTAGAATCTCATGTTCTCTGATGTGCAGGTATTTTCTTCTTTTCAGTTTCAATTTCTCTTTTTCTTTTGTATTCCAACTTGTAAATAGTGATATCAAGATTCTGGTTTCATTCACTACATGATTTTCGTATCTTTCTCTATATACATTGTTCCCTGTCAAGTGTGTCCCTCTATTATCCATGGATTTATAATTTATTATATATATATACAGTATATATATATATATATATATATTCACATCGATAAGGACATCCTTTTTGCAATGTATTTTAAACACCAACAGTACTTTTCACATTTAAATTAGGGAAACAATTAATGGAACTGCAGATATCGATCGAATGTTTTTGTTTTCTTTCAATTTCCACTAAATAGCTAGAATATGCGTTAGCAGGTTTCCCAAGTATTAAACTATACAATTAGTAGATTCTGTTTAATTAATTTTCATCATCACCTTCCTAAATCTATTTTAGGAAAGAAAACAAAATTTGTTTGAAAGCTGAGGTTTATTGCCTAAACTTTAACCTTTGAAGTAGTTTCAAGAGCAACAAATGTTCTTATAGACAAAAAAAAATATGCCAATGAGTTGATCGTGCCACATAAGACACCCACACGACTAAACATGCTCTGGAGGAACAAGAATATTGACTAGATATAGTGGTGTGCCTCTTGCCATGCTCGCATATCTGCAATAATGCCCTTGGCTATCGTTCTCTCTTCTTCCTATAAATTGTGAAAATCAACTGATTTGTCAAAGTATAAATGTTAGGGAACCCCAAAGGACAAAGATCAGGGTAGGATAGAGTCGATAGACTATAATATGGGGCAAATTATTTGTATTTCTAGCGCTTTGGAAATACTCTAAGACCAAGTCTTAGATCTCAATTGTAGTCGGGCGTAAAGCTTTTGGAATGTTGTATCCAGGGCCGACACTTAGCACGTGTGACCTAGGATACAACACATGACCCAATATGATTTGAGGCTTATTATAGTTTTTAAAACATTTGTTTTTTAAAAAAATTATGGAAAAAATATAAACAAATTTTAGGAACAACATATAGTGTCAAGTGTCAACATAATAGAAAGTTTTTACAGTTTTTGTCATAATTAATTTTATTCTCATTGTTTTTAATTGGTTTATAACATATATATATATATATATATATATTTGGTGTTTGATATATTTTTTCATTTATTTTTGATGGTTAAAATGTTTAATGTTAAATAATAATCATTGTTCATGAAAATTATTAAATTAATTATTCAATCATTTTTTACTCACCTTTCACTCTTATATAATATATGGTAAATTTTTTTATTAGTTTACCATATAAATATTTAAAAAAATATATATTATAAGATCTATTGTAGATTAGTAGAAAGTTTCGAGTGTCAATATAATAGAAAGTTTTTACAGAAGTTTTTTTTGTCATAATTAATTTTATTCTCATTGTTTTTAGTTGGTTTATAACATATATATATATATATATATATATATATATTTGGTGTTTGATATATTTTTTCATTTATTTTTGATGGTTAAAATGTTTAATGTTAAATAATAATCATTGTTCATGGAAATTATTAAATTAATTATTCAATAATTTTTACTCACCTTTCACTCTTATCTATTATATGGTAAATTTTTTTATAAGTTTACCATATAAATATTTTTTAAAAATATATATTATAAGGTCTATTGTAGATTAGTAGCACAAGATCTCAAATTTGTTGGAAACGACACTGGTTGTATCAATACCTTTATTGTAATCTTTTGGAGTATGGCATTAGAACAAATTAGAGTGGCAATAGATAGGTTTTAGGGACAAAACTTGACATGTTTATTGGTTCAAAAAGTTAGCCTTCACAGCCTTCACGAGTTAGGATCGCCTTGCAAAAAATATATTTTCTAAATTAATTCAAATATAATAAGCATATATATCTAACATATTTTAACACTACAAGAAAACAGGGATTTAGTGACCTCATATACAGTTGCTAATTAGTTGCTAACACTACATTTATGACGAGTTCCGACTAATACCATCAGTCGCTAATATTGAGTCGCTAAATACATTAGTCGCTTATCAGTCGCCAAATACCGACTGAATAACGACTAACTGTTGACGAAGTTAATCAGTCGCATATAAGTCGTTAGATTAGCGACTGAATCACGACTGTTTTTGCGACGTATTTACGACTGAATGGCGACCATATGGTTCAATAATTGAATGGTATTTGGTGCAATTTAATGACTGTTTTGCGACGAATTTATGACTATGATCCGACTGATTTACGACTGCATTGCAACGGCTTCAATAAATGAAAACAAAATTTAGTTTTACGATTTGATTTCTCCTAATCTGACAATTTGAATCCATTCTACATTTTAAATAACAATTAAACAGCAAAAAAAATCATTCAAATGTAAAATGCAAAAAGTCATTATATTACATAATACCATTGTTTTAAAAATAGACATACAACCATTGTTCCAAAAGTTACTAAAACCAAAGATCAAATGGTTACATATTTAACCATTGAGATAAGTTCAAAAGAGTCTTAAGAGCCGAGATACTTAAAAAAAGAGACGTAGAAAAACCTATGTTTTTGGGTTCAGATCAGAGCTTGTAGGTGCATGAGTTGGATCACTTGGAAGAGTTTGATTTGCAGCCAAAAAATCCATGAACTTTGGATCAGTTTCAGTCAAATACCTTTCCACCATAGATAACTTGTCCAGCTTGGCTTGTTGCTCTGCTTCACGCTTGGAGTTCTCAGCCGCTTGTTCTTCTATTTTGCGATGAGCTTCTTGTAGCTGCTCTTCCATTCCCTTGTATGTTGAAGAGATTCCTGGGCATTTCCTCTTTCCATTGACATGTCACTACAAGAAAGATGTACATTGTTAGCTCACGATTAGCGCTATCATATCGATTTAATAGCGTTTCGATGAACGATGTGATCTCCGGAGCTATAATAGGATGACCCCTATACAATAGCGTTTTCGGATTGTGCTATATTATGTACTTTTATTATAGCGTTGAAATTGTGTTGTTATTGACGATATAGTAGCTCATTTTAGACGCTATAATATGGACTTTTGTAGCTCGGTTTTGTTGCTATAGACTAATCTCTTGTAGCTTTTTTTTTTTTGCTACGGTATAACGTGTTGTAGCTCTTTTTCTAGGCTATAGAATATTGTTTTATAATACTTTATCCGGGCTATTGTATAACTAACGTGTTCTAGTATTTTTTTTTTTTATTATTACGACTTGTAGTTTTGCAAAATTATTTTCAAACCGAGAGACCTGTTTTCCAAATCTATAAAGAAACCAGCGTTTGCATTTAAAACACTCTTATTTTTATTAAACATCCAAACATGTCTTACACAAAACATCACAAGGACAAACATCATATTAAAAACAAGTCTTACAAAACATCAAGTCTTAAACATCATACCAAATGTCTTACAAAACGTGGTCTTAACATCATGGCTGCTTGAAGTGCTGAAGCAATTCTTTGAGTGAGAAGAGCTTGCCTAGCCTGGGAGAGAATCAATGCCATAAGTTGCAGTTCCAAGCAACAAACACACACAGTAACTGCAACAAACCAAAACCATATATTGATGTATTGGGAATCTGTTTACTTAACTCTCCAAAGTCATCAAGCAAAGGTATAATTTCAGAATTGCACCAAAATCCAAATGAACAAATTACCTCAAAAAGATTTGATCATCTTGCAACCGGTTTTTGCAGCAGTTGTTGCCCTCTTCTGTTTTTGTCCAATATAAAACTCCACCAGATTTGATCTTGTATCCAAAACACGTTCCAATTTTTCTAGAGAAAAGTTTATTGTAACCAAAACCTGCTTTTGATGAACTGTGCAAATAATAATCGTCCTAAGAGTGTTAAACAAAGTATTATTCATGTAAAGGACCAAGAAATCAAACCTGTAATGATGAGATGTAACTGAAACTGATTCAAGTCTCTCGTTTTGCTTAAACGTGGTCAAAATATTACAACCATTCTTCTTTTCTGCAAAACAAAAAATTCAGAAAATTAATAAACTCTCAAGAACAGAGAGAAGGAATAAGAACTAAAACCAAAAGCTAATGAGATTAAGGAGAAGAAGAAACGTCAACTCTTTGCAGTCTCAAAAGCATCTTCACCAGATCACCTAATCCAATACACAAGCAAAATCAGAATTAAACTGAACACATAAGCAGATCGATCTCCAACAAAAGTGTTAAAGTGACCTACATCTCATGGAAACAAAAGTAATAAGCATCCACGCTTCTGAAAACAAGTGAATGGGCTCGGCGATACTTATGATCAACTTTAAGGTTCAGGCCTGTGCATACCTACAACAAAGAAACACCGGCGTTACCATTTCAGCTTTAGAGAGTCTTTCGGCAGATTTTATTTCACCAAATATATAAAACAGCAGAACACTAACTCACCTTATGGTAATCTCCTGCGGGAGATGCGTAAATGAGGAACGTGTACTCAGGTGCTGGAGCTGCTCCAAGGATAGCGCCACTCCCTATTAGCCGAGGCCTTGTATACAAAACTCCTTTACCCGGAGGAGGAACCTAAAACACCAAAAAAAGCCATAAAACCCGTGAGGAGCTTCTAGAGATGAGAGCAAACGATGATCAAGAATCATATCGATTGGAATAGAGATACACATTGGTCCATAGTCCATACCCATTCCATTTCTTGATGGCACGTACAGTTTGCTTAACTGCTTCGATGAATTGCTCCACAGAAGGTGGTGTCATACAATGCCTATCAGCACCTGTTTGCATACTAAGAGCGTTTTCGTCAGGCCGGAACAGCCTAACCTGGTCGTCTTCTGTCCTGTCAGCTTTGAGATCTTCAAATAGCCCCTACAAAGCCAAACCAAAATCAAAAAAAAAAATTCTATCAAACCCTCATATATGTGTATAAACACTAAATCATTAAGCTTTTGCTCGCTTATACACTGAAATCAAATAGCTTTAAACAATCTATGTATCACTACTTTGAATCCAGAGATTAAAAGCTTCTAACTAATGAATCCTGCCCTAATTAAACCCAAACGTCCTATAATGTTGTCGCAAGGGACTTCGAAGGAGTTGATGTTGAGTAGTTTATTCTCTGCAAGCTACTAAAAAGATCTGTTAGGCGATCATTTAAGAATAAATCTCGCATCTGAATCAACTGCCAACGCTTTGTGTTCAACATCAACAAAGAAAAATGAAAATAATGCATATTATTAGGCTATTAGCGAGAAATACAACAACTGGCCATCATAATGAAGGTTTTAAGCATTTGCCTTAGGTTGAATATTGGGTGGTCTGTCTCGAAATCCTCGGTATAAGTATCGGTTTGAATAATTTAAGAATCTCAATGTCAAAAGCCCACAAAGTATTGAGAACCATACCTCTTGAACAGGATCGAAGAAAGCTCATGAGAGGAAACTCGTCATCGCCGTCCAGGAACCTTAACCCAAAATCTACAGTTAACCCTAATCAGCTCTTGAGAATAGGAGATGCGAAAAAAGGGGTGAGTTGTTTCAATACCCTTTATGGAGGATGGAGGTGGAAGCGGCGGCGGCGAATTGAGAGAGGTGGGTTCAATCGGAGATGAGTTAGGGTTTAGGTTAGCTGGGTCGGGGGAACGGGAGGTGGAGAAGGAGGCTGAGAAGAAGGCGAGGAAGGAGGATGTGGTGAGATGGTTCAGCCATAACGGCAGAGACGGTGGAGGAGGAAATCGGAGACGGAGGGACAACGAGCTGCTTTATCGAAAGAGAATTTTTTTTTTTCCAAATAACTTGTTTTTGTTCTTCTCCGAACAATATAAAAAGAAGAGTCACAATTGGGGTACTTAGTATTTTTTTTCTTTTTGCCTAAGTACTGGCGCTCATCACAGAATTTAGATTCCAAATGTTATTTTTTTGTTCCCGCTTAGTGAAATTTCGGTATAACGTGTTTAAAATGCTATAATAGAATATCTAAATCCGAAATATCCTCTTTAATAGCAGTTATAGAAATTATGCTATGTTAATGTGCTATCAATACTCGTTTTTCTTGTAGTGTGTGTCTCTGAAAGACTTCCAATTCCATAAGGAATTCCTCGCTCATTTATGAAAGTCGACTGCAAAAACAAAATAAGGATCAAAGCATTAATGCATATATATTAACATCAAAGCATCAAACAAAGTAACAACTTGAAATTTATAGAAGCAAAGCATAATATAAAAGAACACATCAAAAATAAAAAAAAGAAGACTTTACCTGAAGAAAAATCTCATTCTCCTCTTTTATGGTTAGCCCCAACGATGGTGAAGTACCATCTGAAGTCTCTGAGTCTATCCCGAGGTCAGCCAACTTGGATTCCAGGTTCTTCCTATATGCGTCAGCCACATTCTTGGACTTTCGGTCTACAAACGTTTCATCTTGTTTTTTATGAACCTTGATGAAAACTTCACCAAGACTCACCGGTCTTCCCAACTCTTCTTCCTGAAATGATAACAATATAAAGAAAAAGTTACTTCCCATCATTCTCCTCTGACTAAAGATGATATATAACTTATGAAAAAGTTAAAAATTGATATACTTACCATTTCTTGTTGGATTTGGAGGCATGACTTCTGCCCTGAGAAGTGAACATAAGGACCAAGTCCATTACGCTCAGACATCCGAGCAGCTGATGATGGTGGAACTCTTCTCTTTGGCTTCTTCAGTGTCCCAATACTTGTCATTTGTTTCCAAAGAGTATCGCCAATCCAGTTTGGTTGTTCTCGAGAAGCCCTAACCTTGCTGACCATGTCTTTCATCCGGAGGAGACATACTCTCTCAAACCTTTCTTGAACCACACCGGTTAATAAAGGATCCCAGGTGTGGGTTTCTACCAAAAAAATAGAGAAGATGATGTTAGTGAGCAATAAAAAACAAATGGCTCATATGTATCAACACAAAAAAGGAGAATATGGATAGAGAACTTTACCGCGAATTCAACAAAGAATCTTTCCTGTCTCTCCCAAGGCACACATGTCCAGCTATAAAATGGACCATCAAACTTGTTACAGAAAAATTTTGTTATCTTCCGAGTAAGGGAAGACTTGTCACGCCCAAACCTGTAAACACACAACAAAGCAAAGAAACAGTTACAGTCCATAACAATACTAAGATAAGCAAATAAACAGTTAATAACAATTCATAGACCAAGTCCATAAATCTAAGCTAAGTACCATAACAATTCTAACAATTCTAAGCTAAGTACCATAACAATTCTAAACAATCATAACAATTCTAGCCAAAAAACCATAAACTATGCAATTAGATTTGTTGAAATCATACCATGTTGTGTTCGGCTTCTTTATGGGAGAGAGGACTGTGGTGTATGCTTCCCTGCCAGATTGAGTGAGCAAGGCATTGATAATTTGGTGCTGGTCTTCCGCGAGATTCACCGGGAATAGAGCTTCTTCTTCTTCCGCAAATACACTGTGACCTTCGGATGGATAATTTTGAGCGTCAGAAGCTTGCTCGTGAGATCGAGAAGGTTGTTGTTGAGAGACAGGTTGCTGTTGACCGCGTGGAGATGGTTGCTCGTGAGATCGAGACTCTGGTCCTCGATGTGGATTGTGCGAGTTCGGGAACAACTGCGTCGGTGGTGGATAATCCCTCACGGATACTGACGGTTGCTGCGCGGGGACAACCGGCGGCGATGGCGAGGGCGTGAAGTCGTAACGACTTGGCAGAGGCGACGACGTTCTGGCTTGCGACGATGCCACACCTCATCTGCCTCGTCCTCTCTTCCTTCCACCACGACCACCCATCCTCTAATGGTTGAAGATATCTGGGATCAAGGGTTTTTGTCGCTAAATTTGGGAATTTCTGGGGAGATTTCAGGGTTGGAAGAAGAAAGGGAATTAGGGTTTGTCGAAAAGATTTGGGGATTTTTGCTAAGTGTTTCGATTCTCGATTGTTAAGGGTGGTTATTGGGCTAATGGGTTTGTTAACTTTTTTTTTTTGGGCCGAAATGTAGTCACAAAGTAGTCGCCAATTTCCGACTGGCTTAAATTAGTCGTTAAATTAATTGTTATATACTGACCAAGTTATGACTGTTTTACTTAGTCGCTAATTAGCGAGTAATTGCCGACTGTAATATATGAGACGTAAATTGAAGGCAAATCAGTCGCCAATTAGTCATAACATTTAGCAACTGATAAATCAGTCGCTAAATGTCGTCGCCAATTAACTGTTTTCTTGTAGTGTAATGTTTGTTAGATCAGATTGTTTTCGTAGTATTATTGTCTAACATATTCTTAAACAATCTGGTTTGTTTACTTGTAGAGCGGAAGATTTGTTTAGTGATAGTGATATAATTTCACACAGAGTTGAATTTTCTTAGTTCGTCGTGCATATAATTATGTAGATATAGTTAATTTCTCTTTGTAAATTCAAATTATCTAATAATTAGAAAAGATAATAAAAATAAAAATTAATAAATCTCAAGCCTGCCACATCATTACTATTATCCCATTGCGTATGTGAGGACTTTCATTTACTTTTGCATTAACGAAAATGAAAAACGTTATACATATTGTCATCACTTTGTACCGTCATTATTCTGGAAAGGAGTCAGATTTAAATGGAAGCCAATACGCAACACCATCACGTTTTCAATAAGATATATAGTATGTTTTGAGTTTTAAAAAAAACGTAAGGAACACGAAACCCTTTAATTAATCTATAACCAATATAAGTATTTGTAGCCAATCTTATATGATATGAAATAGCCAATCAGGTCATACCCTTGGCAGCAAAGTTGATTTCGTGGCCCACAATACATGAGAAGGGTTGCTTTTCCCAATCGCCGCACAACAAAATAAGAAGAACTTTGCTTTAATAATTGGTCTGTCGATGTGAAAATGAATTATTTTTTTTTCAATATTATTTAAAAAAAAAAAATTAAAGAGGATTTTGATATAGTATTTTTTTAAAAATCAACTAACAAGACTAAATTGATTATTCAATTTGCTACGAAAGAAAGTTGGGTTATAGAGTTGTACGTAGTATTATTTTTCAATTTGTGGATAGAACTTATAGCAGAACGTGCACAATAATTGATAACCAGTCAACCAAAAGAGGTGGTCTAGTAACGAATTAGAGCATCTCCAATAGTTTCCTTTAATTTTTCTTTTAAAATGAAATAAATTTATATAATATAGTACAGTAAATAAAATTTTAAAACTTTGTTTAGATATATATGAGATATATGTAAAACTATAAGGATCATTTCACAAATATACAAAACTAAAAAGTGAAATGAGGGAATGAATAGTATTCCCTCAAATTTGATGTAATACTGTTCATAAACTCATTTTTTCCCTCAAATGATGTACCATTGGAGAAGAGTTTCCCTTATTTTTTGATGTTTTCACTCAAAATGAGGGACCGTTAGAGATGGTTTTGTACTTGGTGAAAAACTCCATTTTTTTTCTTTAGATCAAAAATCAATTTTTTTGTTTATAACTATAAAATTTGGTTAGTCTCATTTGAACATGTCAAATTTGGCGTAATGTAAAATTTATAAATTAATCTTAATATTGGTTTGTAATTTTTAACTATCCCGAACTTTGAACCTGATCAAAGCCAAGAACACTCAAGAACAATAAGCTTTAAACCTAATTAAAGCTTTATTTTGAATAGTTATACTAAATATCTCTTTTGGTATTTTGAACATGATCATCACAATCCTACCATTTAAGAGAACGGAGAAGTGGTTGATTGGTTCCTAGAATTAAAGACCAATTTAACTTATTAGTAAATTGAAAGTTGCGAAAACATAAAAAAATAGAGATCAAATTAATCTTGACTCAATCAACATACTTGTTGTTTGATTTTCTCAATGATCTAAAAACATCTCCAATCTTACCTTATCTTTTACTCCAAATGTCATTTTAGAAAAAAAAATTCTTCAGTTCTACTCCATTTTCACCTCAAAAATGGGAGAATATCATTTTTTTCTCCAAATATAGAATAACTCCATTTTCAACTCTATTTTGCAGTTGAATTTTTTAATTTATAAATTAGGTCTTCACTTTTTATAAATTGTTAAAGCTATATTTTATTTATAATTTAGTCTTTCATATTATATATATTTAATTTAAAATGAAAGATAGATAAATTTAAAATTAAGGATAGAACATAAAAAGTATAAATTAAAATAACACAAATGGTGATATTTAAATAAGAATGTATTTTATTTTGTTATTTAAATATTATATAATATTATTTTAATATTATAATGGTTGAATTTTAAAATAATATTATAATTTATAAAAATTTTAAAAAGAAAGAAAAATTGAATATGTTCATTTGTAATTTTTATAAATAAAGTGTATTATTAGTAATTAATTTTAAAATATATAAAAAAACAATATACTTAAAATATTCATTTTGGAGTTGAAAATAGAAAAATACATTGAAGAGAAACTGAAATTCCTTTTGGAATTACTTTATTTTGGAGACAAAATTAAAGAATACATTGGAGATGCTGTAACTGATCGCCTCCTCTCTTCCATGTCACTATTCTTGTCACTTTGTCAGCTATTTTTAGTTTTATCACTAATTATCCAAGATAAAAAATGATAGTAGATAAATTTTATGTCATTTCTGTTTAAAACAAAAAAGAGCTGTTTCAGGATTATCATTTTGTTAAATACAAGTTTTAATTTTATTACAGGTTTTTCTCTCCAGTTTCTTATCCCCGTTGAATATGATATTTTATAAAATTAAATAAAATAGAAAAATGCGATAGTTACTTGAAAAATATAAATAAATCAAATCTATTTAAGAGTAAAATATTAAGTAATATATTAAAGATGATCTTAAGAACTTATCTCTTAAACATATCATTTTTTCTCTATGAAAATGTTATAAGAAAACATACTAATCATTTTTTATTAGCAGTTAATTTCGTACTATATCAATATGCATGATTGATCTGTTTTGAACCATTTAATCCAGAACCCGCATAACTAGAACCCGTCTTGGCCAATCTGGTTAGTTACAGCATGGTTGCGTGTAGGAAAACAAAATTAGATTGACACATTTCTACATATAAGTCTTTAAAAGTAAAATAATAAAGTTCTGGAAAGCTGTTGTTTTAAAAGTCGCTTTATAGGGATAAGCTTTCTGCAAAAGGTATTTTTTGCATGAAAGTTATACTAAGTAAAAGGATCATACCGTGAGTTGAATACTTAGATTTATCAATCAACATTAAGATGACGTTTATCTATTGGTGTGATGATCCTTTTTGTGACTATTGGGTGATCCAATTTGGATATAGGAACTGGCAACAGCAAAAAAGGAAAAATGAAAACATTTAATTAACAGTAACTTTGGGAATTGAGACCTTCACGTAATACATCATTTATCCCCGGTTAAAACAGAAAAGAATCAGCCTTATCTTCGGCTTTTCGGGGGTTACCATTTATTTCTCAAAAACTCAATAAATTCTCTAACACACAAAGGAAAGCTGAAAATAGCAAAGAAATAATCAGAAAGAAACCGATGGAAGACATGAAGAATGTGGTAAAACTGGTAAAACACAAACCCGTTCTTCTTATATCTTTTTTTTTGGTTCTGAAACCCGTTCTTCTTACAGTATAACCTTTATAAATTAATACTCGATAAATTAATAATCACTATAAATTAATAAATTTTACTGGTCCCAAGTCGGGCCAATGTAAAAATTCATAAAATTCGATAAGATAATAAGATAATATTTTTTTTTAAACTCTTATGTAAATATATGGTCCCAACAAAAACATAAATTAATAATTATATATATTTATGCAAATATATATAAATATAATATTCTAAAATATGACTAATGTGTTTACTTTTACTTAAGGTTGAAATTTCATTGGATCTTATCTCTTTAATTATTCTATAAGTAGTTTTTATTGGTGTTTTAAGATACACATTCAAAATTTATGATGATTTTTTGATGTGATAATTGGTTTTCTAACCTGTAAATGTTTTTAAATATATTGTAGTGTCATCTTCAATTTTATCATCTATAATACTGATAGTAGCCATGATTTTCTTTTATAACTTTTAAACTTATGAACGTGTATATTTTTACATGGACAATCCGATATAGTATTAAAAACTATTTTATTGCGATAATTATGATTGTTAATTATTATTATTTACATTATGAGATATGTTAAATGTTAAAATATAACATTTTTCCAAAGAAGTTTTTAAAAAATATAGGCAAAAAAACAGTTTTTTTCTATAAATTAATAATTATTAATTTACAGATAAATTAATATCACGATAAATTAATAAAATATCATGATCCCGACATTATTAATTTATAGAGGTTTTACTGTATATTTAATTAAATGGGCGTGTAAAAAAGGTTGTACAACTAAAAGATATACAGACGTACGTGGTGTATAGGATGCTCACCTGATTATTATTATTATTTTTTTGTTACACCTGATTATCACTCACGAATTAAATACAAGACCAATGGGTAATGGGATTTGGGACCCAATTCTATTTTCTCACTACATATAGCGCAGAAATGTAGAAAACTATTTAAACAAAAAAGAAAGCGTAAAAACATCTATAACTAAAGTAGGCCCCCCGCTGGTAAAGAAAAAAGTACAGTATTAGACTTCAAATTGAAAACACCAGTAATAATAATTTAAACTAACACATTTGTTTGAATAACTATAAATTACCTTTTTTCACAATTAAGAAAATTCAAAATTGATCCATATGTTCAAAAAAATGAGAAGAAAAAATCGACATTTAAAATCAATGAAAAAAACTGATTATTTTACATTATTATTGTAATAAAACTTTTAAACATTATATACTACTGATACATTTTTGGTAAAAACCTAGGGAAACTAGGTACAATCCAAAAAATACAGTCAACATGATTCATTAAGATGGGCTGGACTTCGTTTATATCTAAGCCCATTTATTTCAAAATATACGAAAACAAAGCAAAGCTTGCCTCACCTAAAAAAAAAAAAGTAAACCCACACAATCACCAAAGATTCCAAGAATCTTTTGCAGAAAATTATTCCTCCCACAAAGGATCTTCTTAAACCCACCAAAAACCCCGGGAAAATCTAACTTAAACCACATACTTACATACATACATTAATATACGTATCGATAAATACGTATTTTAGTAACTCCAAAGCGACTATTCTTCGTAACACCTTTCTTCTTCCACGTACACACTCGTATTCATATCAATGTACGATCTCGGCGGCGACATCAACGGCTCCTCCGCGAGCCTCATCATCATTCCGGCGAAACCCTCTCCTTCCTCCGACGTGGCAAGCTCGCCACCACCGGACGAGGGAAAAACCGTAATTTCATCGCCAAACTCCGGCGGCCTGAAAATCTCCGCTGCTTCCGCCGCCGTGCGCCTGATTGTGTCTGGATCGATGGATTCCGGCGCCGGTAACCGCCAAGCGGAGTCGGAGAAATTTAAGCACGCGGTTCTCCCGCGCAGAGCAAGAACCGCCACGTCGTGAGCACGCGCAGCCATCTCCGCCGTGGGATAAGTGCCGAGCCAGATTCGACGCTGGTGAATCGGTTCTCTGACTTCGCAGACCCATTTGTCGCCGTTCCTCCGCCGCACGCCTCTGTAGATTGGGTGACGTGTCTCCTTGAAAATTCTCCGCCCTGCACGCTTCTTCTTCGGTCGCATCTCCGCCAGGGAAATGTCGTCGTTTTCCATTTCCGATCTGTTTTCAATGAAACAGAGTCGAATGTTTAGTATATATACATTAAAAAAAAAATCAATTTTATACGGATTCCGATTTAGAATATGTTAAAAACTTAATATTCATACGAACTATCATATACTTGATTCTTTAAATGGAGATAAATCCAAAATTTACTTGAGTTTGAATCATAGCTTTAAACAGACTAAAATGGAAAATAAGTAAAACCACAACAGAAATCCCAAAAGTTCAACGGATTCCGAGTTATGAATCTGTAAAAGGCGAAATTTACACGAACTAACTCTCAAAAATTAAACTGAATTCAATTCAAGATTATAACTTGACTTTGAAACACAGTTAAAAACAGAGTATAACATAATGCAACAAATACTGAAAAACAGAATGTTTGAAACTTTTAACGTGTTCAAGATAGTTGTATTTTACTCTAAAGAGGAAGCTCATGAGATTACCTCGAATTGTATGAACGTATCTCGAAATTGTGTTTTATGGAGTTTGCTCTGTTTTTGGTTGAAGAAGAAGAGTGAAGTGAGAAGAGAGTATATAGGCTACTGTTGTGGGATCCACTAAGTACGAAGCGGACACGCGTAGGACAGGTTAAAGATATCCTCTTATGAAGCCCCAAGATTAATGCTGGCAATAATAACGTCATTATTTATATAATAGCTGTTTTTTTTTCTTTTATAATGATTTTATTTGTATAATACTAGCTGTTAATCGTTAAAATGTTTTGTTTGTTAAATTCTTTTTTATTAATGAAGTTATATACTATGTGCCATTCACTACACAAATATATATTAATACTATTTGTATAAAGTTTATATTTCTATTTATGTTTTGTTCTTTAACATTTATTGATATAATGATATGTATTTCCAATATTTTTTTATCATTTTTTTTTATTTCTTCGTCAACTACGTATTGAAAATGAATACTCTATATATAGGAATTCTTTAATTTTTTTATACTTCGCTGTAAATAATTATTCACTGTTTTTAAATTCTAAATCATTTGCGATGATTAACATTAGTAGTAACTAGTAACCACTAACCACAGAACATGTATGACTAAATATCTATTAATATTTGTTAAAACAATATATATATATGTATGAACATGTATATATATATATATTGGTATGCCCTTTACAAAAAAGATGAATATATCTAAATTTAGTTGAAGTCATTTGCTTCGGTGATTTTAATTAATTCAGTATTATAAAGTCATTATACTAAAGTTTAGGAATTTAAATGCGTCATATATTGAAAATGATAAGAACAAAAAGGTGAAATTCATGCAAACATATTAATAGAATCTGTTATTTTGCTTTGTTAGATTAATTTTATTCTGATGGTGTAGGTGTAGGCGTAGCTAACATCTTTTGAAAAGATCTTCTAATTGTATACGACAAAACAAACCTCAATGCCTCCGATAAATTTTCAAAACTTATGACAATTCTATATCAAACATTTTGTATAAGAGTCCTTTGAGAACATGTTGATTTTGATTTTCTATCGCATTAATCACAAAATAGCTTTATTCCTCCAAATTTTTTACTCAATTCAATCACGGATCAATTCTGACTACTTGGTACATAAGGGAAAACGCAATCGGAAACATAATACCAACACACACCATCACTGAATTTTAAGCACGTGACCTTTTATTGGGTGAATTTTGAGCACGTGTTCGATTAAGGAAAACTAGCTGTGAATAACACGTGGGTTTTCCGTGGGGGTAACATTTTTCACTGTTCATTCATCTTCGCTTTCTTTGATTATTAACTTGAAAGTTATTACGTGTTAATTACACAACTATGGGCCAAAAACCTATCAAAAGAAATCTAGACCCAAACAAATATTGGACTCTTGGGTTTAAACCTAGTATTTAAGAGGATTGGCTATCCGTAAATTATCAATTAACATATGAGATATACATCACAATATACTTTGGTCGGTCACATTTCACTCCGAATGTAATCTTCTTCACTTACAATTGAAACAAGTTTTTGAAATGTTCTGGTTCTAACATAATATGTTTTCAATTTCGTGAGAGGGTAAAGTAACGAATTCTCTCAGACTTAATTAGTTGATCCTTTTATTATATTAAAACAAAAGTATTTTTAGTGTTTGCTCCAAACATTTTTAAAGTTTTTTAATAAATTATGTTTAAAAACAGTTTTAAAATTATCCCAATTTATTACAATATTATTTAAAAATAAAGTTTATATATATATATTTAATTCTAAAAATTAAGATATTTATTCAGATTACTTTAAAATTTTCAAATATATAAATTAGATTTAATTTAATTTCAAACTATTCAAAAATTTTTATATTTAAATGTAATTTCAAAAATTTAGATATTTATTTAGATTATTTTGGATTTGATATATGATATGTTATTGTATTTTTTATCATAATCAATCAGTCTAAAATTACACATATTAAAAATAGTAAATATTTATATCATACAATAATATGATCAAACGGATTGAATATATGTTTTTATAATTGTAGTATTAATTAAAAAATATATTATTTTGTATTTATATTTAATTCAAAAAATTTAGATGTATCTATTTGAATTTGATTTAAGTAATTCAAAATTTACATAATAATAAAAGTTTACAATTAACATTACATTGTTATATACATAAATAACTGATATTTTTATTCATTTATATGATAACATTTTTTTTTATTTAAGAAAAATTAAATCTACAAAAATAAATTATATCTAAATACAAAATAAATATAAATTATATTACAAATTTTTATAAACAAAAAAATAAAAAAATTTATGTGTGAACACACGGATTAGAATCTAGTATCAAATTAAAAGCACGTAAAAAATCAATAAGTAAACCAAAATAAAGAGAAAATAAATTCGATATGCTTTATTGATGTCCAATAAAACCAAATATAATTAATATGATTGTATAAAATTCAATTATTTGATAATTGTCAAAATACTTTAGAAGAAAAATAGTCATATATTTCTGAATTAAGCGTCACAATAGCTTTGTAATCACATCAAATGTTTCAAACATTCTTGACTGTTTGTTGATCGACCTACGTCACAATATGCACCACCTAAGTCGATTAATCCTATGAAATCATGATAACTCTACTACGAATTATTGAATAATTATGAATTTTTAAGAACATCTGCAGTAGGAGTTTTTCATAGAATCTCTCACCATTAAAAAAAATAAAAAATAATAAAACGAAAAAAAGAGAGTAAGATGACTTTGAGGTAATCATTGAGAAATTCTCAAACTATGTGTTTTTCTGTTATTGATTTAATATTTTTTTTCAAAACTAAAATTTAAATATAAAATTCAATTTTATTAAAATATTAATATTATTTTGATGAGAGACTTAAAATAGATTTCTCACTGGAGATGGTCTAAAAAAACTTCTCAGTAACTAAATAACAAACTGATTGTCTAATGATATGTAGTTGATAAAAGCTTAATCATACTGAAACAAAAATCATATAGGTGAACCAAAACTTCACACTTACCAAAAGAATTTACTTTACCAGATCCTAAGTTTGATGTCTATAAATCTTTTTATTCTTTTAATTTTTGTCGTGATGTGTATAAATTAATCTTCAACACAATGAAATATTATAGGTTTAAAAGATATAAAGATGACTGCCCCACTACTATTTAATGACCATCATTGGTCCTAATCAAATTCAAAACCAACCATTTAAATAATTTGATCATATGAATGTTACATTTCGTCATTTTTAAGTCCCAAACGTATAGAGTCAAAGTACTCAACAAGGTTTTCCCCATACATACATGTTTTTCGTTATTTTTTTTTCTGAAAACATATAGATATGAGATCGTAAAAAAATATATGTAGCATAGTGTAATTTCAATAGTAAATATAAGATATATAGATTTACTATGTATATAAAATAGTTCACTTTATAATATTTATTTATATATATACCATAATGTTTAGTTTAAAAAAAAACTAATATATGTAGCCAGGGCCGGATCTGGGGACAGACTGATGAAACATCCGCCTATAGCTCCCAAAACTTTTCTTTGGTTATTTGCGAATTTTTCAGCCTCCAAATCACAAAAAAAATATTTATTCTTAAATTGTTTCTAGTCCCCAAATTCTCAAATCCGGCCTTGTATGAAATATAGTGTAATTTCAATAGTAAATATATGATTATAGAGTCACTAATATTAGACACGGGAAGATTTTTGCCAGTTAGGATAAAACTAAAAGTTAACAACAACTTACCCCTATGCATCGTTCATATTAAACATTAATAAAGTCTCGTACAATATCCATCCTTAACTGTTTTTTTGTTTGGTTAATCTATATGTTTGTTTAATATATAGGCACACATATGGTCTTGGTTTGTTCCTAAATATGATACGAACTAGCTTTTAACTTATCCGGCCGCAGCTATTTCTTCAGCTACTATGCCATCTCGTTCGTATTCCAGCGCCTCTCTAGCTCTACAACAATTACTACAGCTAATAATACACAAGTCTCCTCAGGCTCAGCCATCTCCAGGTACCGAGGAATCCGGAGCCGAGGCAGAAAGTGGGTTACCGAGATCCCAGTTCCCAAGAAGAACAAGCGTATATGGCTCGGGCCGGGACTTACAAAGCTTATGAGAGATATTAGGAAATTAAACTAGCCGTTTAGAAAGAAAAAAAATTGATGTAAAAATATATTTGAATAACCTTATGTCAGAATTTTATATGTATATCGTTTGTTTAATTGATGTTAAGTTAGCATCACTTTATTTTTGTATATACAAAAGTTGGATATTCTATTTGCTTCATGTGAAAAAATTGTAAAAAATTTAACCTGTAATTGATGTGAAACCAACTGAAAGTACTCCATGACATTTATATACAGTAGGAGAAAAGTAATAGCATTGAACATATTTTATTTTATTTTCTCTTGTGCTATTTACTATATGGAGAAAAGAAAACTACAAGCATACTGACCCAATGAGAATATGAGATATTTAGGCTATTGGGCCTCAATAAAGGAACCAGAATCAAAATATTTTATTTTTTGGTTTAAAATATTCTTCACACTATGTATTCCATTTTGAACCAATTTCCTGCAGACTTCAATAAATAAAATCTGTATGTATAAATCTGTACATCCTCATCTCGTTTATAATCCATCGTCACAAGTATAATATATGAACTACATTATAAATTATGAACGTACATGTCTAAATCGTCATCCATCATAAAAGTTCTTGATAAACCATACAATTTTTTTTCTCAAAAATATTATTTATAGATATTTGTTACCTTTTGCAGCTAAAAATAACCCCACCAAACACAAACACAAACACAAACAAAACACACTTTAAAAACACACTTTATTGGGGAAAACCCACGCAATAGACACGCACTTTCATCTCATATTTAAAAGCCTTAATTCTCTAATTTTTTTCACTAAAACCCTAATCCATTTCTTACATATATATATATATATATCTCTATATATATATATTATTTATATATATGGGTGACCCTAAAAATCCTATCACGGAAAACTCTTGTCCACTTGCTACTATCACTACTACTCATACTACGACGTCTACTGTTTCTTTTGCGGCTTCTTCTTCTACTACAAGTGGTAATGATAATGATACATTAATGGCCACTACCTCCGGCACCATCTCTCGTCGGAAAAAGCATCCGGTTTACCGGGGAATCCGTTGCCGGGGCGGAAAATGGGTCTCCGAGATCCGAGAGCCTAAGAAGACAACACGTGTCTGGCTCGGAACTTATCCCACGCCGGAGATGGCTGCTGCCGCCTACGACGTGGCGGCTCTTGCTCTTAAAGGTGGAAAAGCCGTCTTGAACTTCCCGGATTCCGTCGGTTCTTACCCTTTTCCGGTTTCCTCCTCCGCAGCTCATATTCGAATCGCTGCGGCTACGGCGGCTGCTACGGTTGGGGCTGCGGCTGCCAATGCGGCTGTTAAGGGAGGTGAAAAGAAGGGAGAGGAAACAGTTTGTGATGTGGCGGGATCTTCAGCTTATATGGAGTTTGTGGATGAAGAAGAGCTATTGAACATGCCTGGTTTGCTAGCGGATATGGCAAAGGGGATGATGGTGGCTCCGCCGTGGATGGGATCTCCTCCGTCAGATGATTCGCCGGAGAATTCTGACGGAGAGAGCTTGTGGAGCTATTGATTGATTGAAATCTGTTTAGTTTTGTGTTGGATGCTCTTCTATGCGAAATCATCTTTGTGTTATTTTATCCTGATGATGATCACTTGTTTGAGATGGTTTGTTAAATAAATTGTATGTTTTTCATTTTTCAAGAATCAAGAAGACAAATCTTTCTTATTAGTTTTAGTCACATTTGTCTTTTGGAGTGTTCTTGAATTAGGGCTCTGGGGAGTTCTTTTTTGTTTTCTAAAGTTGGGGCGTTCTTGAATTTTGGGATTAGGGCTTTTCTTAGTCTATACAATTTTTTCTTGTGATTGTCGTCTCTTACGTTGTCATGATGACAATTTACTTAAAAGAAATGGTACAACGTTTGCTAAACAAAACTAGGAACTAAGAAAATTAAAAGAAACAAAAATGAATCTCCTAAGAGCATCTCCACTAGAAAATTAAAAGAAACAAAAATGAATCGGTTTCCATGGCTGAGAATCGTCGGACCTTGTCTACCTCCGATGGCATAAAGCTCCCAACGTGAACAAACTCCATATATCGGATCCTTGGCATCCTCTGCACTAGTCCTTTACCAAAACGGTTATAAGCCACTGTGACTTGCATCTTCAGGTGTTGTGTAGATGATGGCATTGTGGATTTGCTCTACTTGTTTGTTGAGCTTCAGGTGCCGCAACATCATCACTCCACTCAGAAGCAAAGCTGTCAGGTACGCCAGGTTCTACACAACACCGCCAAACAAGAACAAACATTTAAATCATAAGCTAAGGATTAAATCAAGTTCTCTTGTGCAGAGATGTTTGCAGTGGATGCATAGACGAGACCCTAATGCTAGGTTGGAAAGTTATTAACATCATTCAAGTATAACAGGCATGAGGATCCAACATGAAGTTCTGCAATAGAAACTAGAAACGTCGGATTCGTCGCCATCAAAAAGCATCGACCAAAACGAAAAATGGTAGCGAGAGAGAGAGTTTCCACCCAAAAAAAAACAATTCCGCCCACTTATTTTCGTACACGTGGCTACGAAGTGGCGCCTCTTACCTAAAGAGCGATACAACAGAAATTTAGAATTTTTTCTTTATTTTTAATGCTTATTTCCTATGATTCTGTGCCAAATATATGTTAAAAGATGCTGATGGAGATGCTCTAAATAGATTGGGAAAGGCAATCTGGTAAATAAATAGGATTCAATTCAGGCTCGGTTTTCGAATCCTATTTGAAGCAGTTCAGATGCAAAGTAATGGTTCATCGTACCCGTGATAAATCATATGAACAAAATCTTGTTTAAAGATCAAGATATGAGATTAAAATATGTCCCAGTATTGTTTTTTTAAATAAATCCAGAGATTTCCATAGATTGATCAAGGTATTTTAAGAGACAAGTTTTTGTACCTAACTAATTAATTCCAAAACTAGTCTCATACTAAATTAATTATGAAAACTGCAACTGTTGGCTATATACATAATTATAAAAGCAAAATAGTTTGAATTTGACATGTCGGAAGTCGCAACAGTCGATTTGTTCTTTTCTTATTAATCTCTAATTCTTGTCAAAGCAACATGAAATGTCTTATTAATTTCACCAATGAGATCACATAGAGGGTGGTAAATTAAGGAACTAGAGAATGTGTTACTTTTCTTTTAATCATGTTTAGTATTTAGTTCTATAGAGCAATTAGCTTTCAACTTTTATTTATATTGGTAAAAAAAATTAGATTCAATGCTTTTAGGGTTTTTAGAAATGGTAAAGGTAAGGGACAGGTTTCACTTCCGTTATAATGACCAACGATATTTTCTTACTAGTAGTGACCGAATCATAAAAACGCGTCTTCTTTTCATTTGCTTAATTATAGTATAAAAAAAGCTACGACAAATCATGTTGCCTTGTCTCTTCTGATTTAACATTTGTACTATTTTTTTTTTGTTTTTTTTTACATTCTGTGACCATCATTGATATATTTTGATATGTAATCAATTAAACATTGTTTCTTTCACCCAGTTCCCTAAATTCGCTCAAATGTTGGTCAAAATAGATTGATTATTAAAGAAATATGTAATGTTGATGAAGGTAGATTGTATAAAAAAAACATTATTATATAGAGCATTAAAGACATGTTTATTACTGAGTGTATATATAATCCATCCCAAAATTAAAAAATAAGTTAAAACTTTTTTTAAAAAATTATTAGTTATTTTTCTATTTTGGTATTCCGAGTAGCCGACAACTGTTGTCCCATTAAGAGTCTTAAGACTGATCCAACATTCCAACTTCGAACCGACCATTTGACTTTTTTAAACTGTCAAAAGGTTGAATAAGAATATCCTAATTAGTGAAAATGATTGGAATAATGAAATAATTGAGTTTACCTGTTCACAACGTACTCAATATATTAAACTTCAGTTACATTTGCCAAAGAAGGTTTTGGCGAGGGATATATATGTCTCCCTAGATTTTTGTGAAGCAGTCAATAAGACACGAATCATCTTTGGTCAGCTAGCCTGGTCATGCAGATCCAAAATCATTAACTACTCATTAACCAAAGATTCCAAATAAACCGAAAAACAACATGTTGGTCCATCTTCCGCTCTTAATTTAGACGAACTCCATTGAAAAGGACGAAATCACTAGATGTATGTTACATTCGATGCATAATCTCTTTCAATACCCGAAATCATTTTTTACATATCCCAATTTTAAAAATAACTTCCCTTCTCAAAAGAAGTTTGAATCCAGGACACCAAAAACCAACCCTTTTGTACTACCACTAGGGCTACCACCACCTTGGTAATATTATAACATTTTGCTAATCACATATGTCTTGACCGTAAAGAAATCATACTATCTTGAGATTATGACTTAGATCCTAAATCCGATCCCATTTTATATTAAAAAACGACACATAGGATTTATCGTGTATAAACTTCCATGCAAGAAAAAAAAAAAACTTCCATGCAAGAGTTATGTACATCCACTTCCCGCCGCTACAGATTTTCCTATAATCGTCTTTTAAAATTTTAATTTATTGTCACCAACTTTCACCCTATATCAAAAAACAAATGGCAAGAAAAAAAAAATAAACAAACGAGTAATTGCACACCAAAAAAAAAAAGAAAGAAAAACGAGTACATGTCTTGAATACTAGATAAACCGTTAAATAAACACTTGTGATTAAAAAATTGTCGATCATCTGGCCAGTCGTTAGATATTCGCAGTTTAAAAAACTCGATTCTACAACTTAACACTTGAAACTAAGAACAATATTGTTTAAGTCCAAAAGTCACCCTACCAGTACAAGCCTTTGGTTTGAAGATTGCAATCTAGAAAACTCGAGCGCATTTGGTCCATAAACGTGTATATACACTTTTGGAAGTAAGAAAACTGCAGTTGTCAAAAAAAAAAAAAGAAGTAAGAAAACTGCTGCCTATAAAAAGATTCTGTTGTATATTACTAACTTTTTAGAATTTTTTAGAATTTTCAAACGCACCTTTGGAAGTAAGAGAAAATTTTGCCCACTAATTGATAATGTTTTGGGTAATCAATTGAACAGTTAAAAATCGGAAACCCTTAAAAAAGTGTGCTAAGTACACAACACAACCTAAATACGATTAAAGAAAGAACAAATAAAATGTAAGGTGACAGAGAGGAACAAGACAGACTATTATATTATAGTATTATTCATCAGAACCTCATTAAGGAAAAGCGATGTATTTATGCATTTGTGTTTATTATTCATCTCGCTAGAGAGGAGACAACAAATATCTTTCTCGATATGCTGGGGACCATCACTAATTTTATAAAGACTCAGATATATAGCAGCCAAATTTTCATTTTCATTTTTTTTTTCTTTTTTCTTTTTTCTTTTTTCATTTTTGTTTTTTTTTCTTTTTTCTTTTTATAACTCGTGAGTTTTATTTTTGACTCTACTACATATAGAAAGTCTGTATGATGAGTGACTTAGTGGTAGCACCTAAAGGTTTTTTTTGGCTAAAAATGTAAATATCATTGAAAAATGAACGGTTTAGGTCTTACAAAATGTTTAACCTATGAATTGGTTTTATGGCCAAAAAGAATAAAAACATGGAAGCACATATCAAAATGGAATTCAGTCCATCGACAAAACCATAAGCTTATCATCAGACTATCAATCCGGTAATGTAACACACCCTTATGAATTTCTGAGTGAAAATGGCTATACAATTTTTTACTGGTTGATTTATTTGTTAGTGTGAATATTGGGGAAGTCGACATAAAAGGTGACAAGTTGTAGCGAGTGTTATTTGTTTCCGTACTTCCCAAAATTCTAAGAAGTCGTATAGTAGGCTTAAAGTTGTTTCCCTTTCAAATAGGAAAAGAACTCATTACATCAAACTCTGTGGATAAAAATAAATCTAACTTATAGTCCTCATCAATATATGATTTTTTTGGTTTGCCAACAGCTTGTGGGCAAGTGGGTTTGCTAGTTTGTCTGTCTTTAGACTCACGGGTTTGATCACAATTAAAATCTCCTATATATTGACAGAAAATTATTAGATTACTGCTACAAATTATGGCCTGTCATTTTTTTTTTAAAAAAAAGAGACCATAAACTTTTTATAAAGATTTGGAGGTATCGCTAATAATGTGTCATTAACGTATATTAGAGGCAGGTCGTGTTTTGTGGATGTACCAACAGTGCAAAAACACAGAGCTCCACCATTTTTCATTAGTTTTTTTTTTCCTATTGCATTCTAGTGATAAGTTGGGCGTGATTGGTCGATGCAAATACGAATTTTGGAGACAAACGACATAAACGAATCTCTTGAGAAATAGAAGAAAATAAGATATAAATGTGATTTAATCAAGAAAACGAAGGGAAAATAAAAACGAAAACAAGATAGCCTGCCGAAGACTCTGACCGCCTTTTTTTTGGGGGGGGGGGTGAGAAAAAAGAATTATTTTTAAACATGTTTATAACTTTGCATTTTATTATTTAAACATTTGTTTTTTTTATCGAATTATTGACATTTGTTATGCCTTGCATGTTATGTTTTTACCATTTGAAATATTTAGATCATTTCATTCGCTTACTACACATTTATTCCATCTGATTCACTTGATCTCACAATTAGTTTGCATGGTCCGTTTTAACCATTCGAAATCTGAATTTATTCTTTTGTCAACAACACCAAAAAAACAAGTAATTTGATAAGTATGAGTTTTTTTTTTTTTTTTTTTGATAAAGAAGTACGAGTTTAGGTTGTTATGATTTTGTTGACTAAATAAAAGTAAAAAGTGGTGAATATGGCCGACACGATCCTTGCTATTTCAAAAACTTTTTCCTACTTTGTTGGTTGTTCATATCTCGTTATAACTTTTCCATGCAGTTAAACACTCTTAAATTTTAACTTGGATACTTTTAAAAATATCTACATGTGTATTAGTGTATTTTTTTTTTTGGTTTGGAACCATCATTAGTGTGCATAATCGAGTAATTCAAACTATATAAAATTATATAAAAAACTAATCGAATTCTTATTAGACTTGATGTGATTTGATTATATATTAATATATGGTCCACTCACTAATGTTTCTGGCATGTTTTATTTACTCTAATAATAATGATTAATCTCAATTAGTTCCTTAATGCATGTTTATTACCCTAATCACTCCTTTTGGGATTCAGATTTACCTATATTATTGTCTCTAAATGTAGTCTTAAGATGATTTTTCATGAGAATGTTTTCGATCCTCTCTTGTTTTGATTTTATCGATTATATAAAGTAGTAAACAAATGATAACGTCTGTGTTGTTGCTTGTTGGAGGAATCCGCTGGATCTGTTTAAAAATTAGAGCATGTACATTAGAGCAGAATATAGTATTATTATTTTTTGGTTTTGAGTTTATGGAAGAACTTGTGACAATTTCTAGGTTCCATTGGTAAACCTCAAAATGGGGTTCACCAAAAAAAAAAAAAAAAATTTGTGCTTACATAACTATACACAGCATTATCGGAAAAAACATAACTATACACACACACCCATAATCACATCAATGTAGAGCTTGTGAAACAAAAATTCAACCAAACAGTGTAATGAAAAACAGAATGATCTTTATTCTCTTTTGTGCTTCTTGTAAGCTGTTCAATGTATCGGCTACAAATTGCCAGGTATGTTTCTACAAACATATAAGCATCTATACATAGTTTCAATTCAGCTGATTTCAATGTAGGTGTAGTTTCTACAAACATATAAACACCTATAAACATATAGGCTTCTCAAATATACCTTAAGCTGATCAGCAAAACGCTGACGCTGCACCACAGGGTCATAATGGAGGAAGCTTTCGAGCAATCCACTGATTTCTCCGGCTCTTCATAGATATAAAAACATACCAATCAGAGCAAAGATAGTAAAGCAAAAAACAGCTGGTAATCAGGCCTAATGATCTATGTTCATTCTAACAAATACAAAGAAATAATAATGTGATTACTATAAGCAGACAAAACTAACCTGAAGTCTGAAGGTGGCGTCGCCCTCGGCTTGTTCCACATTGTGATTCATATGCTGCTTCTGCTGCGTTACCTTTCCAACAAGAGATTTCACTTTCTAGGCCTTTAGCCTTCCAAACCTTGCAGTTACTCCTCTAGAACGCGAACCATTTCTTCTCGTAGATTCTGTCATATCCCTCGATGACATATCAAATACCAAACCATCAAAAAAAGCAACGAACACACTTCGTAATACTATAATTACGATTCCAGTAAGAATACAGAATTCAAAACCAAATATTCATTTGGAGAGCTACTAAAACACTTGACGGAATTGAAGACAGCAAATCGGAGAAAGGCGGAGGATAGAACTCATCCTCTTGACCTTCCAGTCTGATTACGATGAACCCGTCATCGCTGGATTCGTTAACGACCTCACTCGAGGCTGAAGTTTCAAGTGGCCGCCGAGTGAAGCCGGCTCTCGCTAACACTCCTCCTCCTCCGCCGTTACGAAACATCCGTGCAGTCTCCCTCCGATTACAAACTTTATTCCTAGCCGTGAAAGTAAGAGAAGGTGGTGGAGCTCTCGCCAACATCTCAAATCGGTTTCACGATGAACAAAATTAAGGAGGAAGAAGTATTACCTGGATGCTCTGATGGATACTCGATGATTGGAACAGATCTACTCCGGTTGATTTTGCGTTTTCTCCGATCAGCCTTCAAATCCCAAAAATCGCCTTGGAAGACGAAGAGAGACGAGTGTCGTGAGAAGAGAAAAAATATGAGATGAGAAAAAAAAATTATCCCCAAATCCTTCTCCATTTTTGACGAATCACAGTTTGTCACGTGGCCATGATACCAGCTCTTCAGCCTCTTCCGGACGATACCGGATCATCAAAAATAGCACATTTTTCTTTTTTTTTAAAATGGATTTCACCTCAAACTTTGGGCCATGAACTTGGGCTGATCCGCTGATGGAGATGCTTGTCTATTAAAATATTCCGATTCTTGTCTATTAAAATAGCTACAATAAATTTACAATAAAAATAACAAAATATAAATAAATTGAGATATGAAAGAAACTAAAGCATTACTCGATCATTTTTAGTTTTCTTAGAATGGTTACTAGTCGATTTTTGGTACGATTTTGGTTGAATCAAGCAACGTATCTAAAGCATCGATCCTTCTTCAAAATTTTTGGAAAAAAAAATCTCAGCGATTTGGGCAAGAACGGGAAATGAGAAGATTAAACTCAAATCATGATTCGCGTGTTGTACATAAACGGTCCAAAAGAAGAAGAAGAAGAAGAAGAAGAAGAAGAAGAAGAAGAAGAAGAAGAAGAAGAAGAAGAAGAAGAAGAAGAAGAAGAAGAAGAAGAAGAAGAAGAAGAAGAAGAAGAAGAAGAAGAAGAAAAAAACTACACCGGTTTTAAAAGACAGCATTATTCTTCTTTTCGTGTCTTCGGTCTCTTAGGCTTCACAGGAACTAAGCAGCTGAGCAGAATCACAACAATGGGCAAAACTGTTCCTATGTAATATACACTCTTGAAGGCGACGAGTGTTTCGTGCAAGCTCAAAACCTGATTATCACACAACAACAACATAAAAGGAGAGGTTTCGAGATATGAGTTAACAAGGTGCACTAAAAATCAGGAAAATGGAGGGAAGAGTTTGATACCATGAAACCAACGGATGAGTAATTGAGAACCAAAACCGTGTAGAGGAAGTTGATGAGAACCATAATATTTCTCAGTATTGCCATTTTAGGAGGCATTGCTTGTTGCCATCGGTAAATAGCTGCTCAAATGAAAAAGGAACGTTTTTTTAGATGAAGATACCATACCCATTTACCAGATTGAATCAAAACACAACGTTAATGATTAAAGAAGAGTATGGTACCTTTTGAACCATCGATCATCAATGCTGATTGAACAAAGAATATAATGTATCCAGGATACAGTCCCTGCAACAAAAAGAACAAAAAGCAGAGATTTTGGTTACGTTCACCGGAAACAAAAAGATTGAATCTTTATGCAGGATTCTCACAATGCGACACATAAAGATGATTCCTTTCGAATCACAACATTGGAGAAAAGAGTACTCACATGCCACACGGCACTGACGGTTTGCGTAGCTAGCAACTGAAAGAAACCGGCTTTCTTCCCAGGCTTCACAATTCTCTCATACACATCTGTGTTAAACCGGAGACACCATTTAAAAAACGTGAATAAACAACAAACGGTAAAAATCTTTTGAATCTCTAAAAAATGTTAACAACACTCACAGTGACGTAGCCAGGTGCTGACTTGTATGTTCCAGAAGAGTGGAATCTGAACCGCGCTCTTAGCAAGCTCAACACCGAGAATGTCAACGTTCTTTGCACGGTCCCATTTAGCCTTTGTTTGAGTTTTCTCATCGGTCCAACCACTGAAACCCAAACCGGAGATAATGATGGAAGCCTCTGAGATCGACCATATGAAGTAGTACTTCCAGCGAGCAGTGAAACCGGCCATGTATTGGTAACCGAATCTTCTCCAGAATCCCCATTCTTGGTACACCGGTTCAGTGAACCGGGTTAACGGAAACTGAGGTACTAGATAGAGATACAGAGCCATACATATCGCAGCTTGAAATATAGCTCGAATCGTTGCTCCGTAAGGAGATGGTCGCTTTCCTTTTCCAGAAACAGCCCAAATCTGAACTCACATACAATAAAAATGAACTGAGTAAACCAAAACAAACATAGAAAGAAACAAACAAAGACTCGATAAATCAAGAATCAAGAATGAGAGAAAGAAACAAAAAGCTTACTCCTTTCTCTTCCGTCCATTCAAGATAATCTTTCATTTCGAAAACCGGGCCAGCGAAATGGCTTCCGCAACAAAGGCAGTAACCACAGTACTCAATAAGAGATGGAAGCTGAATCAAACGGTTCTTCTTCTGAGCTTCACGGAGACTTTCTTCTTTCAACATCCCATCGTTGTAATTTATCGAACACGAAATCACTTTCAGAGTCAACACCATCAAAGCTCCTAATACACATTTATTTAAACAATCAAGATTTCAGCTTCCGGTTTCCACCATTTATTCAGAATCAAAGATTTCAAAGACTCTAATCATTCAAAAAACAGAATCACATTCTAGTATTCTACCACAATCCAAAGACTTTAAAAGATTCCACTTTTAGTAACTTCACACTGAGCTAAAAACATAAAACCAATATTAACCAATCAAATCTCTGGAAAATGGAATCAAACTGAGAAAAAGTCAAAATCAAAGAGTTTACCAGTAGAGTCGATTCCTCCTTCTTTCCAAGCATCTCCACTCATATAGAACACATGACTAGAGGAAAATAATGACAAAGTTTCTATTTAGGGTCAAGGCAAAGGAACAAAATTTAGAGAGTAAGAGCTTGAATTTTGTAAATTTACCAGCCAATGAGATAAGCGAAACCGAGGAAGAAGGTGATGAATCCAGACATTGGTCTATAGATCGCCATTGAAGCGTAACCGATGGTCATCGGGACGAGGAAGTGAAGATTTGAAGAGAAGCCAAAGGAGAGGTAAGAGAGGAAAGCTCCAGAAGCAGCTGAGTAGATGTGTTTACCGAGTCGACTCGGGACGAGTCGCCAAGCGAAGGAGACTGGGATCGTTGCGACGAAGCAGAGGAGGAAACGGAGAACGGCGACGGAAACGCCGATCGAAGCGGCCATGGAACCCATGTCGAACGATTCCATGGTTTTAGAGTTTGGTGACTCAACTCGGTACTGAGTTACGACGACTCGCTCAGTGATCGATTTCGACGAGGCTGTTTTGCGGACAATCTAAATCTCTGTGATAGGTGTCTTTGTAGTTCGTGTGGCTTTGTTCAATCTCGTTGACGAGGTATACTGAAATGACAATAATACCCCTATGTATTTTGTTTAATAAGGTCTTGGAAGTATCGATATTTAAAACACTGTCGTTTTAGCTTAGATCTCATCTCTTTTGGTTTTCTATTTCACAAATTTATGTTAGGTTCATAAAACGACTCAAGTTCATGCTATTTATGAGGAAAATCTCTAAAATATAAATATTACATGATTGAATACCTTAACATGCACATAAAATCACAATGTCCCCATATTATCACACTACAATTATTCAAAATTAATTTGATATAAATTCAGAGATTCATCAATATCACACATATCATATTAAAAATTCAAATATAGAATAAGATTTTAAAACTTTAAATTCATTATAAAAGATTTATACTAAGGTAAATTCATAAAAGAAAAAAATCTATATAACTTCAAATTTTATACCTTAAATTTCAAAATATGTTTAATACTCTTAAATTTTTTATTTTAATATTTCCTTAAATTTTATGAATAACAAAAATAATTGATATACGTGTCTTTTACTATCTTACAAAATACTAAGACTCACAATAATGATTATGAGACTATTATTCTATAGTTGGAATAGCATCCAAATTTAAACACTATTCTTTGACATTTAACCTTAATAATTTCTCATCACCTATAATACAATCTTACACACATCTTCCTATATATATAGATACATAACAAAGCAATCAACATCAACATTCACAATTCACAAGTAGCAAAAAAACTTCTTCAACTATTATAAAAAAATATTCTCTGAGAAAAGAACAAAATGATGAACACAAAAAGTGTAGCCATGTTAATAATGGTGATGATGGTAGCAATGGGAATGCAGAATATTTTGGTTCAGGCAAATCGTCCATTGTGTGAATTTTCTGGTACATGTGCTGGTCTTGAACCTCCGCCTTCTCCTTATGTAGATGATAGATCTTTCGATTCTGATCTTTCTACAGAATCTCCATCTCCTTCACAAGATCATAGCTCTTTTGACTCTGATCCTTCTTCAGAATCTCCTTCTCCTTCACAAGATGATAGCTCTTTTGACTCTGATCCTTCTTCAAAATCTCCTTCTCCTTCACAAGATGATAGCTCTTTTGAATCTGATCCTTCATCAAAATCTCCTGCTCCTTCATCAGATTTTAATTTTGATCTTTCTCCAAATTCTATTTCTCCTTCACCATTATCAGCCGGAACAATTTACTTATGCATGTATGATTGTTCTACTCAAAGTTGCTCTAACCTTGGAAAAGACCCAAGTAAGTTGTCACTTCTTCGTATTATCAATTTTCTTCTTTTATCAGCTGAAGAATTTTGAATGTATGGCAGTATGGCTTATATTATAGTATGATCAGATTTAGGATTAAACTTATGATAATACATTATTCAAGCTGTGTTTGTGGATCTAAACTTATAAATGATCTTTTCAGTTTTCATATAATAAATATGTTCTCACTCGATGATTCAACTCATGTACATGTTTATATTTATACTTTTTCCATTTCATATTCAAAGAATCAAAACTATAATATATTGGATCTAACTAAAGTTTTATTTTGTCTTTTTTTATCTTTTCTTTTTGGGAACTTGCGATGAGAACAGAAGATTTTGAGCAGTTTAACTTATGCGTTGAAAAATGTTCGGAGACGTGTATGAAGAAGTACAAAGGCGACGATATCTATGTTTAAATTAATAAGTTAAGAGCAAATGATTACTTCGCTCCTCGTATCCAATGTTTTATTTTTTTTCTTGCTCATGGCATGGATAATCAGATATTTTGTATGAGACGTAATAAAATTAACTACTATTAAACTTATGAATTTATGGTATATTTCTTGCTCAAAAGCCAGCCCCTGTCTATTTCGATTATTATGTTTTCTATCTTCAGATTCTAATATTTCATCTTCCGTTTCTTCTTAGATTGTATGGTTTCTTTATTGTGGAGTTTGGTAGGTTTGTTGGGGGTCATTGACGTTGATCGACTGTAAATCGAGTGGGTTTCAGAGCTATCTTATAATCATTGACAAAGAAAATATGAAGAAGGCGAATCATCATTTTTGGAGAATGCCTGTTTTTGTCTTTTATCGTCAAAAGTGTTTGGCAATATGTATTTAAAGAATGTTGTGAGGGAGGGAATTCCATTTGGTGGTCATTTGCAAGATTCGAATCAAAGTCGTGATGGTAAAAACAATGTGTCATCGAATAATTATGTCCACCTCAAGTTATAGATGTCAGAAAGATCATTGTGTATTTACTAATATATAAAGGAAATTATTTAAATACAAAGCTTGAAAAGTAAATGCCTTTCCTACAAGAAAAATGAAAATATAAGATATTATTTTGAGGAAATATCCTAAAATACCACGAGTTTTAGTTTCAAGAGTACCACAACTTGCAACAACAAAAAAAATCCAAAGTCATCACAAAATTTAGGTTTAGAAAGAGTTTTTAAAAAATTCACGGTTTCTATTATTTACCACCTCTTTGGTGGTATCTTGTAAAAAAAAAAAAGATGTATTTACCAGAATTACCCTTGTTTTAAATATAATCTATAAATCTCTGGACTTTTTTTTGTTGGTAAATCTAATGTACTTTGTCATTTAATTATTTTGATATTATTAGTATATACACATGTACTAACATATAACAAGTCAAAACTAAATATTTAAGAATTTTATTTTAAACTAGGTGAATCTCCGCGCTACGCGCGGATAATTATAGTTTATTGTACAATAATTTTAATTTTGTAAGTTATTGAGAATTCTGGTTAAAAATAATTTTTATTAGTGGAAGCTGAGATGCAAAATTATAACTTAAAATGAAATAAAATAATGATAATTGTTAATATATTATTTGAGTAAATATGACTTGTTGAAAATCTTGTTACGATAGTATTAGAGTTTCCTATGTAGTAATCAATTTCATAAATCTGTTTTTTTCCGTTTTTTGATTCTTTATTATTTCTATTAAAATATTAGTCTTAGTCATCTCTATTTCAAATCCTGCATTTTGATTGATGTGTAGTTGTTTGAAGTTGATCTTCTGTTATTTCTTATTTACAGCTCATGTCTTTTAATATCATCATTACTTTTATTACGATTATTTTTTAGTCTGTGATTTGATTAGTAATACATGTAGTTGTCTTGTTAATGGATTTAAATAAATTTTAGAAGTCATAATATTATTTGTAATTTGACGTAATATTTGTAACGTTTAATATAATTGCTCTTTACTACTATTAACTTTCATGATTACCTCTTCTTAAATTCCGTTACTAAATCAGATCATTTTTATTTTCTTTGTGGTTAGATTTTAAATACATTACATTTTAGTTTAATTTATTTGAGGAATGCCTTATTTATAAATATTTTTGTTATTATTATTTTCTTATAAATAATTAATGTTGTTACACTATTTTTATTTATTTTATTAAAAATTTTAGGAGTACATGTGGCACTCTCTCCAGCGCTGATGGAGAGAGTTGGCCAAGTTTTATATATAAGATTTAGACCAACACCTCAAAGTTATTTAGTTTGAGAAGTTTTTCAAATAATATATCAAAAATACATGGTTGAATAGCCCATCCTGAGAATAACTTCATAATATTATGTTATAATTAGACAACAATATAGTTAAGTTTGATTTGCTGTAGTTTATCAAGCAACTCAAATTGTGATTCTGAGGAAAATCTCTACAAAATATATAAATAAGACATGGTTGAATAGCTTAACATGCAAACAAAATCACAATACTCCCCATATTATTTCAGTACAATTAATTAAAAGTTGATTTTTGTATAAAATAAGTTATTCACCAACATACCACATAGTATATTAGCAAGAAATCTCAAATCCTTTAACAAAAAAAAAGGAAATCTCAAATCTAGAATAAGATTTTAAGACTTTAATTTAATCATTTTTGTGCTGGCAAATTAAATACTTATATTCTTAAAATGATATATACTAAGTAGATTTATAAAAAGAAAAACAAATCTATATAATACTTCAATTTTATACTTTCATGGTTTATTAATTGTTTTAGTTTAATATTTCCTTAAATTTTATAGATAACAAAATGAATTGAGATAAATATACATTTTTTACTATATACAAAATACTAAATCTCAACAATGACTATGAGATATTATTCTATAGTTGGAATACACCCAAATTTAAACATTGTTCTTTGAAATCTCAACTTAATAGTTTCTTATCACCTATAACACAAGCTTATACACATCCTCGCACAACTCACAAGTAACAAAAAAACTTCTTCAACTATTATAAAAAAATATTCTCTGAGAAAAGAACAAAATGATGAACACAAAAAGTGTAGCCATGTTAATGATGGTGATGATGGTAGCAATGGGAATGCAGAATATTTTGGTTCAGGCAAATCGTCCCGTGTGTGAATTTTCTGGTACATGTGCTGGTCTTGAACCTCCGCCTTCTCCTTATGTAGATGATAGATCTTTCAATTCTGATCTTTCTACAGAATCTCCTTCTCCTTCACAAGATCATAGCTCTTTTGACTCTGATCCTTCTTCAGAATCTCCTTCTCCTTCACAAGATGATAGCTCTTTTGACTCTGATCCTTCTTCAAAATCTCCTTCTCCTTCACAAGATGATAGTTCTTTTGAATCTGATCCTTCTTCAAAATCTCCTTCTCCTTCACAAGATGATAGCTCTTTTGACTCTGATCCTTCTTCAGAATCTCTTTCTCCTTCACAAGATGATAGCTCTTTTGACTCTGACCCTTCATCAAAATCTCCTGCTCCTTCATCAGATATTAGTTTTGATCTTTCTCCAAATTCTATTTCTCCTTCACCATTATCAGCCGGAACAATTTACTTATGCATGCAAGATTGTTCTACTCATAATTGCTCTAACTTTAAAGACCCAAGTAAGTTGTCACTTCTTCGTATTAACAATTTTCTTCTTTAATTTTATCAGCTGAAGAGTTTGGAATGTATGTATTATATTATAGTATGATCAAATTTAGGATTAAACTTATGATAATACATGATTCAAGCTGTGTTTGTGGATCTAAACTTATAAATGATCTTTTCAGTTTTCATATAATAAAAAGTGAATGTTATGTTCTCACTCCTTGATTCAACTCATGTATATATATATATATATGTTTATATTTATACGTTTTCTATTTCATATTCAAAGAATCGAAACTATATTATTTTGGATCTAACTAAGTTTTATTTTGTCTCTTTATATTGTTTTTTTTTGGATCTTGCGATGAGAACAGAAGATTTTGACCAGTTTGACTCGTGCATCACAAAATGTTCGGAGACGTGTATGAAGAAGAACAAAAACGACGATATCTATGTTTAAATTAATAAATAGGAAATGATTACTTCGCTCCTCGTATCGTATGTTTAATTTTTTTCTTGCCCATGGCATGGATAATCAGATATTTTGTATGAGACAAAATAAAATTAATAACTATTAAACTTATGAATTTATGGTCTATTTCTTGCTCAAAAGCCAGCCCATGTCTATTTCGATTTTTGTGTTCTCTATCTTCAGATTCGACTATTTTCAGTTCTTGCGTTTTCTTTTTAAATTGTATGGTTTCTTTATTGTGAAGTTTGGTAGGTTTGTTGGGTGTCATGGTTGTTCGACTGTAAATTGAGTGGGCTTCTTTGAAGCTAGCTCAATAGAGATTACATTGACAAAGGAAATATGAAGAAGGCGAAACATCATTTTCGGAGAATGCCAGTTTCTGTTTTTATTGTTGAAAGTGTTAGCAATCTCTAGTTAAAGAATGTTGTGATGGAATTCCTTTTGGTGGTCCTTTGCAAGATTCGTCGAATCAAAGTTGTGATCAGTGGCGTGGCAGAACCAAAAATAGTTTTTATTGAGCAATACTAATATATTAAAAAAAAAATTATCGGAATCAATACTAATATTTTCTACAGATTATTAATTATATATATAAATTTTATAAAATATACCGGAGTCAGTTGACCCCTCCGCCGCACCTAGCTCCGCCACTGGTTGTGATGGTAAAAACAATGTGTCATCGAGTAATTATGTCCACCTCAAGTTATAGATGTCAGAAAGATCATTGTGTATTTACTAATATATAAAGGAAATTATTTAAATACAAAGCTTGAAAAAGTAAATGTCTCTCCTATAAAAACAATAAAAATATGAGATATTACTTTGAGGAAATATCCTAAAATACCACGAGTTTTAGTTTTAAAAGTACCACAACTTTGCAAAAAAAAAAAGATGTATATCAGAATTACCCTTATTTTAAATATAAATCTATAAATCTCTGCACCTTTTTGTTGGTAAATCTAATATGTTTTGTCATTACTCATTTGATATTTTTTTCAGTATATGTACACATGTACTAACATATAGCAAGCTTTTTTTTTTTTAACATCAAACTTTATTAACTATAACAGAGTGGAGATACATAAAACAAGCTAAAACTAAATATTTAAGAATTTTATTCTAAATTTTGAGCACACCTCAAAGTTATGCTCGTTTGAGAAGTTTTTCAAAAAATATATAAAAAATACATGGCTTAATAGCCCATCCTGAGAATAACTTCATAATATTGCCTTATAATTAGACATCAATATATTAAGCTGGATTTGCTGTAGTTTATCAAACAACTCAAATAGTTATTCTGAGGAAAATCTCTACAAAATTAATAAATAACACATGGTTGGATAGCTTAACATGCAAACAAAATCACAATACGTCCCATATTATTACACTACAATTAATTAAAAGTTAATTTCTTATAGTTTAAGAAATTCATCAACATAACACATATATTATATTAATTAGCAAGAAATTTCAAATCTAGAATAAGATTTTAAGAATTTAAGTTAATCATCTTTGTGTTGGCAAATTAAATACTTTTATTCTTAAAATGATATATTATAAAGGAAAAGAAAATCTATGTAATACTTCACATTTATACCTTTATTTGTTTTTGTCGACTTCACATTTATACCTTCATGATTTTTAATTTATTTTTGATTAATATTTCCTTAAATTTTGTAGATAACAAAATGAATTAAGAAACATATTTTTTAATATATACAAAAATAGTCAATCTTAACAATGACTATGAGAATATTATTCTATAGTTGGAATGCACCCAAATTTAAACATTGTTATTTGAAATTTCACCTTAATAGTATCTTATCACCTATAACACAAACTTACACACATCCTCGTATATATATATATATATATATACACACATAACAAAGCAATCAAGCATCAACACTCACAACTCACAAGTATTCAAAAAACTTCTTCAACTATTTTCAAAAATATTCTCTGAGAAAAGAACAAAATGATGAACACAAAAAGTGTAGCGGTGTTAATGATGGTGATGATGGTAGCAATGGGAATGCAGAACATTTTGGTTCAGGCTAATCGTCCCTTGTGTGAATTTTCTGGTACTTGTGGTGGTCGTCTTGAACCTTCTCCTTCTCCTTTACAAGATGATAGCTTTTTCGATTCCGGTCATACCCCAAATCCTTCACAAGATGATAGCATTTTTGATTCCGGTCATACCCCAAATCCTTCACAAGATGATAGTTTTTTTAATTCCGGTCACACCCCAAATCCTTCACAAGATCTTAACTCTTTTGATTTTGATCTTTCTTCCAAACCTCCTGCTCCGTCATCAGATGATTTCGGTTTTGATCTTGCTCCAAATTCTATTTCTCCTTCACCAATGTCAGTCGGATCAAAAATGTACTTCTGCATGTATGGTTGTTCAATTCATCACTGCATTAACCTTGGCAAAGACCCAAGTAAGTTGTCACTTTTTCGTATTATAAAATTTTCCTAAACGTTGAATCAAGGATATAATCTATGTACATTATACATGTTCTATCAATATTTAAAGCTATAAATTTTTGGATCGAACTACAGTTAATTTTTGTCTATCTTTTTCTTTTTTTGTGAACTTGCTATGAGAGCAGAAGATATAGAACAGTTTGACAATTGCGTTGCAAAATGTTCGGAGACGTGTACGAAGAAGAAGGAAAGCGAAGATACATATGTCTAAATTAATAAAGAGCAAATGATTATTAATAGAGAGCTTCTCGTATCGTATCATTTATTTATTTCTTGCTCATGGCATGGATAATCAGATGTATCATCTGATCATGATGTTTTGTATGAGACGTAATAAATATAATGACTATTAATTATGAAATTATGGTTTTCTTGGATTTGTATTTATAGTTGTCAGTACTAGCCAAAACAAGTCTATTTTGATTTTTTTTTATTTCTGTTCACTCTCTTTCTTGTTAGAAACATCAGCTATTTCTAACTTATGAGGTTGAGAAATAAATTCAAACATATAATACTAATTTACTTTTGTGGTTAAATAATTGCCATCTCGTCTATTTTTTTTTTGGATGGATGAGATTTTATTTCTGTATGACTAAATATAAGATGCCATTTTGAATTCTTCTCCATTTTAAGTAACAAAGATCCTAAATAGTCTCATCCCGACCCTGTATATAAACAATCACTAATCTCATGAAGCTTTTAAACTCCAGTCAAATAGTTAATTTTCATCAAGATGGCTTTCAGAATCACCGTAAGTTTAATTATAATTCTTTTCATATCAAATTTAAGTGTTGAAGAACGATTTGCTTTGAATTTATATATATTGTAAAACTGTTTAATACGTTTTTGGTTTTATAGAGCCAATTGCATTCGACCGGCAAACACATTGGTGGCTCTCGTCGCTTCGCGACCACGGTCGCTGATGGCGCCAAACAAACATATAACAAGTAAGTGGATTTGTTGATATTACAAATCTAGTTTTATGCTTTGAGTTGTCCGGTTTCATTTGTTTTTCAGTTTATGAAGAAAATGTACCAAACTGAAAAGTAAATATTGTTTAGAATTGGTTTGGTACAATATTAGTTTTACACAAACTTGGAAAATAATTTTTAGTTCTGTTTTTGCATTACCGGTTTTGGTTGTTTGTGGTTTCTATAGATCATTTTTGTTTCATGTTGTATTGATATCTCAATTAGAATTGGTTAGATGATTCATTTCGATTAATCATCGATAGATAAATACATGCTATTAGTTTTCAATCATGATGATTTTATACAAATATTTTTGTATAACACACACAGAGTAAATAAATTTGATCAATGGGATTATTGTCAAATAGGTTTTCAGTGACGGGAGAGTTTGCACCAGTCGCTATAATAGGAGGCTTTGTTGCACTAGCGGTTGCTATGGCCGTACACAGCCTTAAGCAGCAGCTTGTGCATTCTCCGGCGGTAAGTACACGGAAGAATAGACGAGCGGCTGTCGCGGAAGTCGATGATCCTGACCATTGTGTTTCCTCCGCCAACAAGTTTATCAACAAGTCTTGGCTACGGAAAGTAGGTCAGATTCAAGATAAGTCTAATGCCATCTTATCAGATCCCACAAGACCCAACCCATACACCACGTATGTTCAGTGACCTCTTTCTCTTTTTTTTTGTTTTCAAAACTAGTTATATATACTACATTTTTTTGGAATAAATCTCATATATATACATTAATACATATACTAACATTTTAAAAAATGATCCGTCTATGCTAATGTTAATGTCATTTTTGAGTTTCAAAACAGAAACTACAGAATGATATATATGAAAAAGAACTTTTTCTAGCATCAAAACCGTTTTTTTTTTAATAATAACATTGAGAATCTGGTTAAGTTGATGATATGACTGTTCAATCCAAAATTTGGTTTCAGTATTTTGGTTTTCGAGTTGTTCACTTGTTCGGTTTAGGAAATGAAAGAGCAAAATGGAAATTGAATATAATCTCATTTGTTTTGATTACCTAGAAAAGTACATCTCCGATTAAAAATTTGAAATGGCTTAAAACGAGATTAAAATTTTGGTTTGAATGGTTCTGTAACTTTCATCAAGTTAAGTTTTTATGAAATTGGTTTAATCTACATTGATTTGTTTTATCTTGACTTAACATTTGCCAATGGACAATACTTATGCATGTAACTAACCAAAATTTTATATCGTCATTTTTTTTTTTTTTTTTGCATGTGACTCGAAAGGCCTCGAAATGCAGAGACATTGAACTCCGTTGGTGTAGCTCCAAGGGGAATCTGAAAACTTTCTATGAATCGAATAAGTTTTTGCTTTCAAACGAAAACGCAATTTAACTTTCTAATTTTTGTTTACTAATGTTTGTACATATAATAATCTCTTTGAGCATGTTTCAAATAAAGCTGCTTTCTCTTTTCACATGTATATAAAAAAGTCCCAACCAGAAGGGTCTTTCGTGCAAAAGAGTAGCTTGGGAAATTGAGTTCTTATAATGTAAAAACATCTTTCGAAGTTTAATATCTTCTAGAAAAGCTTCTTCCAAATCCCATCACTGATCAGGAAAAAAAAACATAGATCATTGGAAAAGTAATGGCTCTTCTGATGTATTTACCCAAACTTTTGACAGATTATTAGTCGGTCCTGATCATGTTGTAAAAAGTCTAAGAACTTCAGTTTTCTAAAGCATTTTCGTGTTAAATGTAAGAGACTATTTGTTCTCAACTGTAAGAAGAACTTGTCTGTGCAAGGAAAATCTGAATGGTGACTATCAAAATTTTCTAGAGTGAAAATTTTGATCCATTTCACTCTTTTGCATATCCTCGATTAGTCCACATGTTTGTCTCCCCCATCCATTTGATCTCTCATATGTTATGTTTAACATTTTAAAAGAAAACCATCGGTCTATGCTGATGTTAATGTCATTTTTGAATATCAAAACAGAAATCACAAAATGATTTATATGAAAAAGACATTTCTAGCATCAAAACCATTTTTTAAAAAATAACATAGAGAATCTGCTTAAGTTGATAATATGATTTTTCAATCCAAGAGTTGGTTTCAGTATTTTAGTTTTCTGAGTTTTTAGGTTTTCGAAATGTAATAGCAAAATGGAAACCGATTATAATCTCATTTTTATTGAATATCTAGAAAGGAAAAAATAAAAGGGAGATATATATAAAAGATTATCTAGAAAAGTATATCTCCGATTGAAAAATTTAAATGGCTTAAAGAGTTTAATTTTGGTTTGATTTACTTTGTGGTTCAGTAACTTTTATCAAAATAAAGTTTTTATGAAATTGGTTTGATCTAGATTGATTTTGTTCTATCTTGACTTAACATTTGCCAATGGAAAATACTTATGTATGCAACTAACCAAAACTCATATTGCCAATGGACAGTTCTTATTATTTATTTTTTTGTATTGTTTTTGCATGTGAACTCGAAATGCAGAGACATTGAACTCTGCTGGTATGGCTCCAAAGGGAATTAAAAAAACTTTTTATGAATCGAATAAGATTTTTGCTTTCAACTCAAAATGCATTTTAACTTTCTAATTTTGTTTACTAATATTTGTATATAGTATAATAATCTACAGAAGCATTGATCAAGGCTAAGGTGAGAAGAGTTGTAGTTGAGATGGTTGATCCCAATCCAATCGTTTCTTCTTCTGGTATTAGTCGTTTGGCAGAAGCTAGAATTGATGTCACTGTGGGTGTAGAAGAAGACTTGTGCAAGAAGATGAACGAGGGATTCATCCATCGAATGTTAACAGGAAAGCCTTTTCTTCATCTCCGAAACAAAGTCATTCGATAGTTTGAAGATCTTTGCAGGTATTCTATATCTATCAATAGTTGTTTCTGTCGGATGTGTTGTGGTGTTGCAAACCATCCACATCATTCAGCAGGTTCCGGTTAAAGGCTGAATGAGAAATAACCAGGTTTAATTGATTAAAACCGAGGTGGTTTATTAAACTCCAAGGAACGTCGTCGTATTGAAGCTTTGGGTTAAAAGCTGGTCTCGAAGCCTGACTCAAAAGGAGAAGATGCAGAGCCTTGTGACCGTTAGAGCGTTGGGTCTACGCGCTTGAGTTGTTACGGCTGTTACAACGGATAAGGTCAAGAGCTTTAAGCTGTGTAATCTTTGTATTGAGTTAGAATGCAATCATCGTAATTTCTGAGAGGAGAGATTTTTTGTATTGTGTGAGAGAGAAGAGAAAACAGAGAGATAAAGTTCCGGTGAGCGAATTTGTATCTCAGGGAGGTTTTCCGGTGAACACACGGCGACGATATATAGTGGATTCCGAGCTTGTCTCGGCCAGACGTAGGGTTGCGATTTTGCACCCGAACTGGATAAATTCTGAGTATGTTGATTTGCTTTCTTTACTCGTAGAACATATCATTTCTCTAATCCATTAGAAATCAATCGAGAAGAACGATAGACGAAATCAGGAGATATTCTCAACAAGTGGTATCAGAGCGTAGGTCGGGAAGATTGGGTAAGATCTAGCTCGAGTATCTCATCGGAGTTTCGAAGATCGAATTGAATCTCTATCGCAATGACTTCCGCAAAGATTGAGATAGAGAAGTTCAATGGTGTGATCGATTACAATATGTGGAAGGAGAGATTGTTCGCCAATCTAGATCTGCTTGGTCTTGTGGAGGCATACAAAGCGGAGGAGCTTGAGCTGTCAAATTCTCTGATCAAGGGAGAAACAGGAAAGGGGAAATCTGAGGAGGATACCTCGAAGGTTACAGAAGCAGATCCAGAAATGGCAAAGAAGCAAAGAAAGGTACGAAGTACGATTGTTACTAGTGTTACTGACAAGATCCTGCGTAAGATCATCAAAGAACAGACTGCTGTAGGGATGATTAGAATCTTGGATGCTCAGTATATGTCTCAGTCTTTGCCCAATAGGATGTACTTGAAGCAGAAACTCTACAGTTTTAAGATGAATGAATCGGTCTCTATAGAGAACAATCTTGATGAGTTCTTGCGGATTATCACTGATCTAGGAAATGTTATGGTTGAGGTTTCTGATGAGGATCAAGCTATATTACTGCTGATGTCTCTACCTAAACAGTTCAGTCATCTCAGGGATACGCTTAAATATGGTAAAACCACTGTAACTTTGGATGAAGTCATAACCTCTATTCACTCAAAACAACTTGAGTTGGTATCTGGTGAAAAGGGGAGCAAGTCTCAGGGTGAGGTATTGTACTCTGGAAATAATAAAGGAAAATGGACCAAAGATCAAAAATCAGGAAAACAGACTCACAAAGGAAAGGATAAGGCAAAAGGAAAAGGTGCGGCTCCTACTTGTTGGGTCTGTGGTGTAGAAGGTCACTTCAAGCGTGATTGTCCTAAGAAGAACAAAGACAAAGCACAGGTTACAGGGGAGTCTTCTGCAGTTACAGGCATTGAGTTCATAGAGTCCTTGATGGTGTCAGAGGTGAATGCTGCAACAAGTGTGGATTATGAACAAGTATGGATTCTGGACACCGGGTGCACGTTCCACATGACCCCTAGAAAGGAATGGTTTGTAAGCTTGGAAGAGTACGCAGCCGGATCAGTAAGGATGGCTAACGAGTCTGTCTCTGCAGTCATGGGTATTGGTTCCATCAGGATCAAGACATCGGATGGTTATGTTCTGATCAAGAATGTCAGATACGTACCTGAATTCTCGAGAAATCTCCTGTCTCTGGGTACACTTGAAGAACAAGGTTGTACCTTCAAGTCTGAGGACGGTTTGCTGAAGGTTCAGAAGGGAGGGAAATCGATAATTCAGGCCAAGAGGATTAATAAGCTGTATCTCTTACAAGGCAGTAGTCATTCGGAAGAGGTAAATGCTGTTTCTATGAAAGATGATACCAATCTCTGGCATAGTAGACTTGGTCACATAAGTCAAAAGGGATTGGATATCTTGGTTAAAAATGGATACCTTGACAAGGACAAAGTGTCACATATTCAGTTTTGTGAGAGCTGTGTGTTTGGAAAAGCACATCGTCAAAGCTACTCAAAAGGAAAACATACAAGTCAAGCATGTCTTGAATATGTTCACGCTGACTTGTGGGGTTCTCCATCTGTTCCTCCATCACTCGGTAAGTGTCATTACTTCCTAAGTCTGATCGATGACTATTCTAGAAGAGTATGGGTTTATTTTCTAAGGACTAAGGATCAAGCTTTCGAAAGTTTTGCTGAATGGAAAGCACTGGTAGAGAATCAGTCAGGTGTAAAGGTTAAACGTCTCAGAACAGACAATGGGTTAGAATTCTGTAACAAAGAATTCGATGGCCTGTGCTCAGACAATGGGATCTCAAGGCATAAGACGATTCCTCACACTCCTCAACAAAACGGAGTTGTTGAACGAATGAATAGAACCATTCTAGAGAGAGTGAGAAGCTTATTAAGTGAGTCAGGTTTGCCAAATGTTTTCTGGGCAGAAGGTGTTAATACGTCTGTATATCTGATCAACAGGACCCCATCATCTGCTATTCAAGGTCAACTTCCAGAGGAGCTATGGTCTAAAACTACACCGAGTTTTAACCATTTGAGAAAGTTTGGTTGCATCTGTTTTTATCACATAGATGAGGGAAAGCTGCAGCCAAGGGCCAAGAAAGGCATCTTTATTGGATACCCTTCTGGAGTTAAGGGCTATAAGGTTTGGTCTTTAGATGATAGGAGATGTGTCATCAGCAGGAATGTCACATTCAAGGAGAATGAGTGTTACAAAGATTTACTGAAGGATGTTGGTGTTCGGAAAGAGCAAAGTACTGCTTTTCTGGATATTGAACTTGATGACTCTTCAACAAAGGATATCAGTTCAGGTGGAGACGTGGAGGTTAATGTTGACACTGAGGATGAGGTTTCAGGGGATGAATCTGTTCAAGACGAAGGTCTGGAAGGTTATCAACTAGCACGTGATCGGGAAAGAAGGCAGGTAGTGATTCCCAAGAAATATGATGACTATGTTCACATGGCTCTCTTAGCATCTGAAGATGGTGATATAGTAGAGCCTACGGACTTTAAAGCCGCAATGAGGGATGTCCATAAGAAGAAGTGGAAGCTTGCCTCTGATGAAGAGATGAATTCTCTGCATAAGAATTCAACATGGATATTAGTCCCTAAGCCACAAGGGAGGAAGGTGATCGGGTGTAGGTGGATTTTCAAAAGAAAACCAGGGATTCCAGGCGTGGAAGAGCCTCGGTTCAAGGCTAGATTGGTGGCTAAAGGCTATGCTCAGAAGGAGGGAGTAGACTACAATGAAATTTTCTCGTCTGTGGTCAAGCACGTGTCTATAAGGTATCTTATGTCAGTTGTGGTTCAAGAGAACTTGGAACTGGAACAACTTGACGTGAAGACGGCCTTTCTACACGGTGATCTAGAAGAAGAAATCTTCATGTCACAGCCGGAAGGTTATGAAGAAAGAGGAAAGGAGGATTATGTGTGTTTGTTAAAGAAGTCATTGTACGGGTTGAAACAAAGCCCGAGACAATGGAATCAGAAGTTCAACTTGTTCATGAAGGAGATTGGGTTCAACAGAAGTGATCACGATCAATGCGTTTACATCAAATGTATATCAGGCACATATGTCTACCTGTTACTTTATGTAGATGATATGTTGGTGGCCTGCAAAGACATGGAGGTCATTAAAGGTCTAAAGGAACAGTTGAACTCCACCTTCGAGATGAAAGATCTCGGTCCTGCAAGTAAGATACTTGGGATTGACATAATTCGAGATAGAGAGTTGGGAACTCTTAGATTATCTCAAGAGAGTTACATGGAGAAGGTTCTAAAGTGTTACAATATGGACAAAGCCAAAGGAGTGAGCACGCCTATGGGAGCTCATTTAAAATTGAAATCTGCAACAAAAGAAGAGCTCAAACTAGAGGAGGCATATATGAGGTCAGTCCCTTATTGCAATGCTGTTGGAAGTTTAATGTACGGAATGATAGGATCTAGACCCGATTTGGCATATCCTATTGGATTGGTTAGTAGGTTTATGAGCAATCCTACTAAGATGCACTGGAATGCTGTTAAATGGATTCTGAGGTATGTGAAAGGATCAACCGGAATGAGTCTAGTCTTTACAAAGGGAAATGAGTTTAGAATCTGTGGTTTCTGCGATTCTGACTATGCTGCAGACCTAGATCGTCGGAGGTCTATCTCAGGTTATGCATTTACTTCTGGTGGTTGTGTCATTAGCTGGAAGTCAACCCTACAGAAGGTGGTAGCCTTGTCCACTACAGAGTCCGAATATGTAGCTATGACTGAAGCTGCAAAGGAGGCGGTTTGGTTAAGAGGCTTAAGTGCAGAGTTTGGATATCCACAGGAGAAGGTGGAGATATATTGTGACTCTCAAAGTGCTCTTGCATTGGCCAAGAACAATATACACCATGAACGTACTAAGCATATGGCAGTAAGGCTTAGCTATGTTAGAGAAAGGGTGGAAGAAAATGAAGTTGAAGTGTCTAAGATTCATACGAATGAGAATCCTGCAGACATCTTCACAAAGGTTTTACCTATCAGTAAGTTCAAAGGAATGTTGAGCTTACTGGGAGTCTCTGAAGATTGAGATTGAAGAAATCCGAGATGGAATTCGCTATATGTTTTTTGTTGGTTGTCTGGTTCTGCAACCAAGGTGGAGTTTGTCGGATGTGTTGTGGTGTTGCAAACCATCCACATCATTCAGCAGGTTCCGGTTAAAGGCTGAATGAGAAATAACCAGGTTTAATTGATTAAAACCGAGGTGGTTTATTAAACTCCAAGGAACGTCGTCGTATTGAAGCTTTGGGTTAAAAGCTGGTCTCGAAGCCTGACTCAAAAGGAGAAGATGCAGAGCCTTGTGACCGTTAGAGCGTTGGGTCTACGCGCTTGAGTTGTTACGGCTGTTACAACGGATAAGGTCAAGAGCTTTAAGCTGTGTAATCTTTGTATTGAGTTAGAATGCAATCATCGTAATTTCTGAGAGGAGAGATTTTTTGTATTGTGTGAGAGAGAAGAGAAAACAGAGAGATAAAGTTCCGGTGAGCGAATTTGTATCTCAGGGAGGTTTTCCGGTGAACACACGGCGATGATATATAGTGGATTCCGAGCTTGTCTCGGCCAGACGTAGGGTTGCGGTTTTGCACCCGAACTGGATAAATTCTGAGTGTGTTGATTTGCTTTCTTTACTCGTAGAACATATCATTTCTCTAATCCATTAGAAATCAATCGAGAAGAACGATAGACGAAATCAGGAGATATTCTCAACAGTTTCTTGACAAGATCGGGGAAGTGGCTTCGGATAGTGGTTGAGGTTGATAGTACTTAGGGCTATTACAAGAATATGATACGAGAATACTTTCTTCCTCGTTATCTGATAAACTCTCGAGCATTTCCTCACAAGAAGCTAATGTTTTGATCCAACTTATCCAAATCTTAGCAGCCAGTGATGCACAACAGGCTCTTGAATCAGGTCTGAAACTTGGTACTGTTTTCAAAAAATGAATTGGTTACAGAATCTGGAATCAGCAAAAGTGTTGTTGAAGCTGTGGTATTGGAAAAAGATAAAACTTGGATTCCATTTTGGAGTATTGTTATCGCCGTGGACTATGCAGTGTATTGTTGGATTTGAGGGGAAACATCAAAGACCTTGAAGTGCTTCTGCGACTATTGCGAAAGATAATGATTGAGGTTTTGCCGGAATGGAGCACGAAAGAAAGACGAGAGACAGGTCGTGTCAATGAACTTGTTAGAATCAAAAGCTGTGAAAGATTTGCAGTCTAAAAATTTTGATGTACGAGTGTAAGTTTATGAGCTACATTATATACTTTTTGAAGGCATTAAGGTAGTAAGGTTTTACATATTTTGACTGGATTAGTAAAAGGTAATTTTTAACCATGAAAGAAAATCTCAAATCCAACATTTATTTGCTATTTAGTTTTAACATATTCAATATATAACTTCTGTAACTTTATAGTTTGGCGGTTAAATTTGGTTTGTTCAGCATTGAGCATATTCTCTTGTGCACGAGTTTAATTATATTGTCCAGATCATTTTTCTTTTCTGTCAAAACTTTCACATCGATTTACTCTTGAAAGCAAAATTAGAAAACTCTAAATTAGTCTTCTTTTTTGTTCACTAAGTCTTCATTTTTTTTTCCCTTACAACTTACACCAAATTATTAACATAATCACAGCCCTTACCTAAACCATAAAACAAAACAGCAGAAACAAACCTCCCACCAAAGCATCCTTTTAAAAGGCTCTCTCTAAACCCTTAAATATCCAAAAAAAAAAAAAGAACATAATAAACAACAAGCAAAATCAAGTCTCAAAAAAATAAAAGAGAATGGATCCGAACACAAAAACTATTCTTTTTTACGCGTTGGTTTTCCTATATTTAATTTTCCCTAATATTTCCCTCGCTGACACAATAACCCCATTAAAGAATGAAGTTGGTATGTTTTTACTTTTGCAGAATCAATTTTTTACTTGTATTAAGATTCATACTTACACATATATGATTTTATTAATTTTAACTACATAAAACAGACGATGAAACACGATTTACGTACGAGCAAAATCCAGATAAAGGACCAGAGGGATGGAGCAATGTAAATCCTCACTGGAAAGTTTGTAGCACCGGAAAATTTCAATCTCCGATCGATCTCACTAACCAAAGAGTTAGTCTTCTTCATGATCAAGCATGGAAAATAGAATACAAACCAGCCCCAGCTGTAATTTTAAACAGAGGACATGACATTATGGTAAAGATTTTATTAAAATTCAAATATTATTACACTAACCATGGTACTCAATTTAATTCTGATAATAATTAATAATAATGAAAGGTATCGTGGAAAGGAGATGCTGGGAAAATAACGATACGTGACACGGAGTTTAAATTGGTGCAGTGTCATTGGCATTCACCGTCTGAGCATACCATTAACGGAACTCGGTTTGTGTTTTTCTTAACCAAATAATTAATCTCATTTACACCTTTTCTTGTATCATTATTTTTTATTTTATTTGTAAAATTGGGTTACAGTTATGACATGGAGCTACACATGGTTCACACGAGTGCTCAGGGTAAAACCGCAGTGATTGGAGTTCTTTATAGATTAGGCGAACCTAATGAATTCCTCACCAAGGTAAAAAAAAAAAAATTTATACAGATCAAAGATCGAATGTAGAACATTTTTAATGGTTATTTTTTATAATGCAGCTACTAAATGGAATAAAGACAGTGGAGAAAGAAGAGAAGAATCTAGGGATCGTGGATCCAAGAACTATTAGAGTTGAAAACGAAAAATTCTATAGATATATTGGCTCTCTCACTGTTCCTCCATGCACTGAAGGTGTTATTTGGACCGTCGTCGAAAGGGTATGTATATTATTTTTGTTTTGTTTATAACATTTTTTCATTAATTTGAAAATGCAAATTTGGTAATTAAGTTAAATTGTATATGTAGGTAAACACAATATCAAAGGAGCAAATTGCAGCTCTGAGGAACGCCGTTGATGATGTAAGTAGTCGATATAGCTAATGTGTTTTCATTAGGTAATAGTATTTATTTAATTCATTACTAACTAGCTAATGTAACTGAATAGGGGTATGAGACAAATTCAAGACCGGTTCAAGACTTACATGGAAGATTGGTTTGGTTCTACGATCCAAATGTTTGAATCAATGAATTCACTTATTTTTGTAATATCGAGATTGTTCGAAACATTGAATAAAGAAAACAATGAAATGGATTGATTCATCTTTTTTATCTTATTTTCTGAATTCTAGTCCGAACTGAAATGACAAAACATTAAACCGACAAGACCTAAAGAAATAAAAAAAAATAACTTGACCGAAAATTTTATACAGATTTTAATCATTTATTTTCTCATATATTACACATATGGATCAAGAAAGCAAGAGACAAACAAACCTATGATTTGGACATGAGACATGTTTGAATCATCTTCATCTACTATCTGCTCATTCATCTTGAGATTATACTATTGTGCTTGGCTCCCCACAGTGAGCTCCTCTCTGGATCTTTTAATGGCTTTATTTACAAGATTTTGTATTTTTGAAATTTGGTAACATGCTTCATCCACAAGTTATTCTAAAAAAAGTACTAATTAAGGGTGGTGAAAAATAAAACTTTGGGTTTGAGGAACTTGGGCCTGAACACAGGTCTCATTTCTTTTCTTTATCTGATCATCGGGTTGACAGGTTCCACCTTAGGCATCAGTATCTTGACTTCCAAACCCTAAAGAACAAAAGAAAACCCTAATTTTCTCAGATCTCTAAAATCATGAGCGACGAAGTACTTGCTTTCTTTGTATTCAAAAACGATCCTTCTGGGAGACTGCTGTTCGGAGGGGAAAACGTTTTGTCTCAGACCCTGGAGCCCTTTGGTTCATTCTCGAGTATTCAAAATTCGAGGGAAAGAGATTGGCTGTTGATTGTGGTTCTCAACTATTCAGGGGTTGGTTCGGTAATTCGAGTTCGGAAGATTAAATTGATTGAATTTTATTAAGTTCTCAATTACAGTTCGTTCAGGTCTCTCGACGAACTCAATACAATATTCAGGTCTCTATTCTCCGGGTCCCAAAAAGATCCCTTCTACAGTAACAATTATACTATTTATAGTACATAAACGAGGAGATGTTCTAGGGCTTCTCGTTCAGCTCTCACCGCCTCTTGCCGCTGGGCTCTCTTATGGGCCGCGCTGTCAGGCCAGGCCCATTTCGGCTAAGACCATCGTAAACCGGGATCAATTGGGCCGGTCTCAGTCTTTAACTGGTCCGAACCGGGGAGCGGAGCGTACCACCAACAGTATGTCCCCCCCCCAGTTCGGCAAATGGACCTGACTGACTTTTGCCGAATTGAAGCAGGATCGGCTATAAACCGAGGTCGGTGACGTTGAGTTCTCGACTTACACCCTTCTTCATTCCTCTGGTGTTTAGGCAAGGGTATTTAAGTATTTTTGCTTGTGGGGAACTGAAAAGTCACGTCGGTTTAGGCGGGAAATCGAGACGTTACGAGGCGCGGAACTCGAGAAGTCGCAATGATTCGCTCTTCTTCTATAAATAGGACTCAGCTCTCCCCATTTCTCACTTTCGCTCCTACTGCCAAGGTATTTGCTCTCCCTTCTCTCTAAATTTTCTACTTTCTCTCTCTAGAATTTCCGGTCGCCGTGTGCGTGCTCTCTCGTCGACGGTTATTCTCTCGAGCTCTCCGACAATGTCTTCCGACTCTTCTTCCAATTCTGAGGCCGCCATTATTCCCGAACACCGTAGGGAGGAAACTTCTACTGACATCTCGAGCTCGAGATCTACAGAACATTCTTCGAACGCTTCTCTGGTTCGCAAGAATTCCCGGGTCGTAGGTCGGCTCTGGTAGCCGAGTTCCGATTCGGGCTCTAGAACGGATGGATCGAAATCTCCGCGAGCCCGAGGACCAAGTTCCCACTGACTTGGTCCTGGGACGGGAGCCTGACGTGAAGACGGATGAGGACGCTCCACCGCGCGAGGTCAGGGATGGAGGGGCGCATGATCCAAGCGATGATGACATGATGCCGATCATGGATCCGCCATGTATATGCGCACCGGTGAAATCCACCTTGTCGTCTCCTAAGACGGTTCGGGCTGCTATGCTGATCGGCGGAGCCCCTCCTGGAATCATAATCCAAGTTCCCGAACCGGAAGAGCGCCTTGGGATGCACCTGAGGACTTCATTTGTAATTACAAAGCTTACTTCCGCGAGGCCGGATTAACCTTCCCTCTGCCCGCTTGCCGTTTGCCTACTGCAATCGTCGCGGCTGCGCGATATCACAACTTCAGCCGGCGTCGATAGTGAACTTTGTTGGGAATCTCCAGCTCGGGCGTGACATCCGGGCTCACATCAACGTGGCCCAATTCGAGGAGCTCTTTATCATCAAGGTCTCATCGGCCAAAAGTTGGTTTCTGTCGGTGAATTGCAACCCGAAGTTCGACCTGGTTACTGGGAACAAGGCTAGCAAATTTCCGAACTGGGACCAGAGTTACTTCTTTGTTCGCGTCGATTCGTTGTCTACTGAGAATCTGGAGAGCACGTTCCGGACTGGCTGGAGTGTCGATTTCGGTACATATCTCACGGTTGACTCTCCTGTTTCTTGGTCGGTACTAATAAAAATTCTTTGCTTATGCAAATCACCACGTTCCAGGATTTCTTCAACGCTCCCTTACGTCCGACCTAGCGAAGCAGCTAAGTCTCGCCGGACAGCGCCGTTGGCCCCTTGCTTACCGGGAGAAGATTGATCGTCGGATAAAGAGAGCTCAGGATAGAGGTATGAGTTCTCGGGTCATTTTGAATTCGTTATTACTTAGTTGTATAGATTATGGTTGACATACTTGTCTTTTTTTGTAGCCAAAACTAAGACTGAACCCAGCTCGTCGAGGCCGGTACCGAAGAAGAAGAAACCGAGGAAAAACAGCAAGTCAAGTCGGAGGAGGATGGCATTCGACAGATCGGACATTCCGATGATGGACTTCGAGGCTAACGAGGAAGAAGACAATGCGCCAATTGATATCGTCAGTCTTGACGAAAACGAGGCCGGCGATGGCGTTGAAGCCGCTGGCGGGGACAAGGTTGACAATGTCCCGGTCGGCCCAGTTGATCCTTTGATCCCGGTTGCAGAACCGGAGGGCGACGTGGCGGGAACTAGCGTTCCTGAGGCGATTCCTCAGCCTCAAATGGAGGAAGGCGAAATTGGTGAGCAGGATGAGGACGATCTCACCATTGCCGACCGCGCCCGGAGGAAGAAGGGCAAGTCCTCGAAGAAATCGTCTCGGAAGAGGGGTGGTGATCCCGAGACGGCTGCGAGTGAGGGGACTCTGGTCCTTCACGGAGGGGACATCGGCGGGTCGCCTACCGCTTCTCAGATTCCCCCAGCAGATTCGGCAACTGAAACCAGAAATCCGAGATCGTCCAAGAGGCGCCGGACCTCTGACTCCTCCTCCTTTTCAGTCCGGCCTAACTACAACAAGGACCGATCCTTCTTTGACGACTCAACTGCCTGTGCTGAGCTCTTCCGCCCCAAGTCTTACGTTCGGGTCGCAAGATCCGCCTCCGTTGTAAGTTTCTCTCTGATTTGAATACTTAGACGTTTTTTATTTATTTTGAAGTGTCTGACTTTGATTTCTATTTTCAGCTCGTCTGCGATACCAACGAGCTCGTCCACGAGTACGACTCTGAGGTCGAGAGGCTGAGGAAGATTAACGCCGAGGTCGCTGCCGAGAGGGCGTCTTTGGAAGCGTCGTACCGGGATGAAAAGGAAAGGTACGAGGCTGCTGTGCTAGCCTTCACCGAAAAGGAGAAAGAGAACGCTGCCTTGAAGGAGCAGCTCGGGGCTCTGGAGAAGCGGACTGCCGAGCTGGAGGGGGATATGGACGCTCTGTCCAAGTCTTTCAAGACGAGCGAACACGAGAGGCGGAAGTACCGAGACGCCGAATTCAAGGGCAGAAATATGCTGGCTGCGCTTAGGGGCAAGTGCGAGGGGAAGCTTGCCAAGATGAAGGACTTCATGGACAAGTCCGAGCTCAGAAAGGCGTCGTTCCTTAAGCTTAACCAGACGACTGCTCGGGTCGGCTTCTGCGACTTCCTTAGGAGGGAGCACAACATGATCGACCCGTCTCACATCGTGGAGACGTATGGGCGTAGGGTCAAGAACTGCAGAAAGGAGGTTGATGCCATCCCCCTTCCGCGGTTCGAGAACGAAGACTTCCTCCTCCCGAGTGATGACGATCTCATCCCTAGGATTGTGCTTCCGCCGGGGACGCAAGTTCCAGAGGGCTTGGACCAGTTTGGCTCAAACTCCAAGTCCATCTCGGCTGATCGGGCAGCGAGTCTCAAGAGTCCGGCGTCCGTCGCTCGCCAATGATTCCCTTAGTTTTCCTTAACGATTTTGCTTTAGTCGCCGATTTTAGGCGTTGTATTGTTGCGGTCTAGTTCGGCAATTTTGGGTATTAATGAAATGAACATGGTTTTGCTTTATCGCGATTTTTACTTAGAATTTTCCTTTCTCATATTTATTGCGAACTGTTGGGAGTTCGGCTTGTTTCCATTGGATTTGGAGTTTGTGATGTTATTGTGACGATGCGGACGAACTCGGGAGGCTCTCCGAACTTGAATCGCGGTTGGCGGATTGCTGTTCGGAAGAGTGAATGCGGATTGGGTTTCGGCTTTGAATAGTGGGCAACATGGGGGTGCGGGCGAGACGGATCTCGGCTTTTGAGATTGTATTCATGGGGAATACTTAGTTCGATCTCCTGGCCGGGGAGTCGATATGTGGAGTTAGTGATAAAATGAAAAAGATGGATTTTTATTGGATTTGTAGCTGGACTCGAAATCGAGCTGCCTACGTACCCTTTTGCAAGGGATCAAGCCACTCATAATTCAGTTTACAGGGGTGAGTTCGGCCGGAGCCGGACTGTTTTTTTTGTTTTTTTATATCCGAGCTCGCGGTCGCTGGGACTTAGTAGTAATATCGTTTGAGGTTGGCTGAGTTCCACGATCGCAGGATCGGCGTTCCGTCGAGTTGCATGAGCTCGTAAACCCCAGGCTTGACGATTCTCATTATCTGATAAGAACCTTCCCAGTTCGTTCCCAGTTTACCTGCATTTAATTCCTCGGTGTTATGGAACAC